CCGAAGTCACGTGACCTGTACCATAGTTCTTCCTTTCCCGATGGTTCCTGGTTACACCTGTGTTACTGCTTCCATATGCTCCGCATTAGCCGCCGAGATCCCGGGCGGGGTTGTTCCAACGTGTTATGCCTAACGGGTCGTAACAAACAGGCTAGTAGGCAGCTAGCAAGGATCTAGGGACTACCTTTCGCAAGTGGTGTAGGGTTGACGCAACAATAAATCAAATGACGAAAGACTTTGCATGAACGTTGATCGAGTTCACGGATATTCCGAGGTTTTGTATCGACGTCAGAGAACATGGCGCACGAGCGATAAATCCATCAGCTACACATTGTTCAGTGAGACAGGAGCCTACAGTTAGGTAGGCTGTCAGTTATCACAGAGGTTCCAGCAAAGTAAATGGTGATCAAGAACTATATCTCTATTGCTATGGGCAAGCATGCTAGTCTATGTGCAGGTCTAGTGACTCGAATATCACAAAACTGAAAACATTACGCTTGACATCGCAAGTTTCGTTGCGCTGAGATCTTCCTCTCAGCAGGGGGTCTCTTGTTCAGGCTCGGCGGATCTGCCGACATCGATGGCCAACGCGGTGACGTGAGCAAGTCCTTGGCAACGCCTGTCAGGCTGATACAGAAACCCTCCAAAACACGCTTCAGTGCATCACCATTTTCGTCATAACAGGCATCGCAAACCTTGGCGCTGCTGTCGGCCTTCATCCCAACCTCAGCCTCACTGATACCCTTCTTGCAAGCATTCATGGCCGCATGTAATTTCTCGATCGGCTTTCTGTGTAGCCTTTGGATCAACGCCTCGCTCTCGTCCAGCAGGGTTGAGGATGAGGCAGAGGAGCCCTTCGGGCCAGCAGCTATTAGAAAACGCTTGGACCCGTCTTTCAGGGCCTTGAAAGCGTTTCTGAGTGACGCCTGGGTGTTTAAAATGGTTTCTCTCAACTCCGAGGCACTCTTATCAGTGCCGAAGTCCGATAAACTGCATATTATGCCGTCCAGGCCGTCGGCAAATACGAGCAAGGAATCCTCGTACGCGTATGTGGGTACTGATCCACGGCCTGCGTCAAAAGCAGTGTTATTGGTGAGCGCGTTTTGCATTCTCACTAGGGCTTTGATGAGTTTTGCCGTCGTCATTTGCCTGCCACGTTCCGTGGTAGCTGTAGACAGACGCCCGATTGCGTGCCTCTCGAGATAGCCCCGAATTTCTTGGGCATGCGGGCCCCCATGGGTTTCAGCAAACCGTTCGTCTGCAATGGTGCCTGCTGACTCAAGAAGCGTTTTCGGGCCGCCAGGATGAAATGCCAGGAAGGGTGTCATGTCGTATACTGTTCCGCCGATGGCGATCCAGCATGATTTGACAGAGTTATGGGCTGCAAGTTTTGAGAGGCTGATAATGGGACCTTTGGGACCACTTGACGAGGCCGAAAGGCATGCGGTGGGTGAGCAGGAGGGTGTTGAGCGGTTTGGTTTTTTGACCATCGTGAAGAGGTCTTGGTGCAACTGATTCCAATGCGGGGGAGGTGAGGGTATGTGAACAGGGCTGCCATCGTCGGGTCCGTCATTTGCTTGTTGTGGTTGGGGGCCTCCTTGATGCTGCTGCTGCTGCTGTGGCAACTGACCCAGTCCAAGAGTATTCATCACCGTAACCCCAAAGTCAGAGCTACCGCAGACAAAGACATGACCTTTCTTCTCCTTCACATGCCGCTGGATAAAGTCTCGATAGTCTGTCAAATGACGCGTCACACGTCGGCCCCCTTGGGGGAGCTTTGTCCAGATTCCGCCACGGATCTTCAGATGAGTCTCCTGGCTGAGAGCCAAGACTATGGTCAGTGGCAGCGTACTGGTAAGTTCCTCCAGGCTGTCGAGTGAACAGGGAACGTGGCGAAGTGTTTTGGCAGCCACCACGAGGAGCAGCTCTCCCTCCCCGGCGCTTTCGTTTTGGGTATCATCGAGGCGCTGTTTCTTTGTGGCGCGGTCGTGCAGAAAGCCAACCAAGGGGCCGATACCCACGCCCTGCCCAACAAGAACCAGCGGCACGGCTAGGTCGCGGGGCTGGCGGAATCGGGGAGAAGGCCAAGGCCGAAGGCGCAGATGTGTGCCTGGCGCAGCGCTGCTGAGGAAAGAGGAAACCAGCCCCTCGGGCGAGTGTTGAGCGACTGTCAGAATGATGGTCATGCCTCCTGCTCCTCCTACAGAATCCATCGTTGTACCGGACACGTTTGGGATGACACGGGCGATGGAGTAGAACCTCGGCTCGCCATCATCATCGCTCTCGCCTGACGATGTATCATGATCTTCCGGGCAAGAGGAGCCTCGCAACCGTCGATGGTGTGAGGATGCTCTGTTCAGCGTCTTTCTCTTTCTCGGCGGCCAGATTTGGACTCGATCACCTGGCTCGAGCGGCAAAGTTGCATCCAACTTCACGGCCACCGCCACGCTTCCGCGATAGACGCTGTGCGACTGCACATGCGCATCCTGCCATAGGGGGCGACCGCCCAGTCGTGAAACCATACCCTTCTTCATCTGCATGCTAAGCATGGCCTCGGGGCGCATCTTTGGTTTTCCATCTTTCATGGCTTTGTCTTGGTCGCCGCTCTTGACGCCGCTGCTGGTCGAATGTCGCCCCGTGTTCAGGGTTACGCCCGTGATGCCAACGGCCTTGACGCGGTGCCGTTCGAGAAACCACACGTACAATTGCAAAAGCCCATCCCAGGCCGCGGAGAGATGTTTGTACTGTGCCTGCTCTTCGGAGGGAACATATTCTAGCTGGGCACGGGCAGCGGCGACGTAGTCTCTGACGCTTCCGGCGTCATCCCCAAGGGCATCCAAGAAGGCGCGAATATTGGTCGGTAGCGTGGCCCGTCGGTCGCTCTGCATCCCTCTCAAATCACCCTTGACCTGTTGGCGACCGATAAAGACGTCCAGCGCATGGAATAGCGGTGCATCGACGCCACTGTTGCCCAACTCTCCGGACGTCACCGCGCGACCCATAGCGGGATAGGTCTTTATCCAGACGACAGGGTCAAAGTTCGCAGTGTCGCGTGGAGTCATGGCGTCGAAGACGTGGGCGCACTTTACGATACGTGCCGCCACGCTCTCTAGACACCGCGCGACTTGGTCGGGCTGGTTGGCTAGCACGCTATTCTGCGCGAGCGCCATCGACGATAGCGCGGGCGCAAAAGCGACCTCCATCCTGCCCTGGAGCCCCGAAGAGAGCCGCTCCTCGGGCAGGCCAAAGTAGGTACTCTTCAGACTGAAGTAGTTGTCGCCCACAGCGTTGTTCAGAACATCATCAGCGGGCACCTGCCGTAGAGAGTCAGCTATGGTTCTTTGTGTGGGTGGTGTGTATGGAGGACATGGATCCGTACATACCCGACCAGTCATGCTTCTACCCAATCGTTCGCAAACCCTCTCCCACGTAGCAAGGATATGGCGCGGGACCAGAGACTGTCCGTCTTTTCCCTTGCCTTGTTCCTCACCAAACATGTACGCGTGGGCCAGCGCGCTCAGAATTAGCGCCGCCCGAGCCAGGTGACGCGGTTCCAAGTCATCCCACGCATCTATGACTCTTTCCGCACGATTGCCCAGGGCGTCGACAGCTTCACGCACTCGTCCCGCTCTGAGTAGCAGGGGCAGATTTCCATGAACCGCCTCCCATGGCTCCAGGGACACTGGCAGGCGTTGGCCTGAGCGTATGGAGGAGGCCCTGCTACTAGCGGTGCGGCTCTGAGTTGATTCTCGACCTCCCAGAAACCCTCTGGTGCGGTTAAAACATCCATCAAGGCCAGGGCCGAACTGGAGTGTTCGTGTTCCGGCTGGGAGTGACCCTTGGCTCCGGAGATTGAACTCAGCCATTGATGAGGCTCCAGATAGCTCAGTCGCCAAAGAAGCCTGGGCAAGCAGGAAGCTGGCCTTTGAAATAGGGCAGTTGATGATTGTCGAGGAGGTTGTGTTCATGGGATGTAGTGTCTTCACCGGAGTAATTGGTGGCGTCAAGACGCCTTCAGCTGACGGTTGGGGAACAGTGAGGGACCTTGAGGGCAGAGGCGATGGCGACCTCAAGCCCATGTCCACATCCTCTTGTGGACTCTTCAAAGAAGGAGGGGTTCTGGGTGGGGTCGGAGGCAGAGACGGCGACGGCGGATAGTGAAAGGCAGACATGGCAGTGAATGGAGCTACCAGAGCTATCAAAAAACAAAGTAGGAATTAATTTTATTAGAACAAGGTAAATAGGCAGGCTGTGGCAACGCTTTCAGATAGCTGAGGATGATAGGACGAGTTGGCTTCGTTATTCGTAAAGATCATGTATCCAATGACTTGGTTCTGACAGCTTCGGGTCTTCATGGACTTTGCAGGGACGATGTGTTTACATCTATATGTATGACGCTGGCACGGCAGGAAAGGCATTGTTTTCCAACTTCTCGGTGTAGTATGCGCATTCCAGCGCGTCGAACTTTGTGTCCCACGTAATCCCAACTAGAAAATAACCTCATAGGCATTTTCGCACTTTTGTTCCAATTTGGAAATGTTCTGTATTAGATGATGTCCCCATCGGACCGGCACAAACAAATGACGCCGTTGTCCGATTAACCCTGGCAAATCTGGGTCGGTAGTTCCCCGGCGGCCAGCCACCGTCCGAACATCCACTTCATGGCCAGGTTAGGTGTGCACGGCGATCATGCTCGTGCACGATGGATGTTCCCTGTCATCAACGCCATGGTTCCAGAGACCTGGTAGTAATCCGAAAGGTTAAAAAAGAAGGAAAAAACAAAACGAACACGATCGTTCCGCTGGATATACGTCGTCCGAGCGCTGACACGTTACGCCTTGGCCCTTGGCAAAAGCCTTTTCTCCGAACTTTGACCTGCGCAAGGCACAGGTCGAGGCAGGTCTGAAGACCCACCAAGATGCCGTCTTGACGTAACGAGTCGGCGCACCTACTAATAACTAGTTCTGCCCGGCACTCGCAACTGAGAGTAATTAAGCCACTTCATGCAGACGGGAAGAGGTATCAGTTCAGGAAGTTGCGTGAGAAAGCTTCTAGGGCCCTTGGTCAACCAAGGAAGAAGACCGAAAGCACTCACCCCAATGCCCGAACAGCTGTCGGCTTCCTCGGCCTTGTGATTGACGGCACTTTCGGCGTCGGACTCCGGCAGCCTCCCCGTGCCATAGTTTACTTATGTCGGGGAAATCCTATTCCATTTCGCTTTCGCCTTGCTTGCGTCATAATTCTGCCGTCATCAGGCGAGCTCGTGATTACCATTGTCATGTCCACGACCTTGAACAGAGACGACTGACTCACTTCATCTTCTTCTCTCGTACTCGCCTTACCGTACGGAGAATAACTAACACGTGGAGGAACAGCAACAAGCAGCAGCCAAGAGTAAGAACATACCCAGCACCTCGATCTAGGATCCACCAACGCGGACAAAATGATTCTTGGCATACCTTTCAACTTTCACATGTCCAACCTGCCGGACCTTCCGAAGCTCCTTTGGACCATCGGTCTGGCCATCTTCGGAGTTTTCGTGTTACGCACCATCTACTACCTGACCTTCCATCCCCTGGCGGGATACCCAGGCCCTCTGCTCGGACACGTAACCACCGTTTACTCACTTTGGCACCGCGGCAATGGCTCCAACCACAGCTGGCTACTATTCCTGCACAAAAGGTACGGTCACATTGTCCGCATCGGCCCCAATGAGCTGAGTTACACCCACCCGGATGCTTGGCACGACATCTATGCCAAGGCGGGAGGTGGGGGTGACATACCCAAGGACTTTGTCGGACTGGGGCCGGACATGGCGGCGCCCGAGAAGGGCATCGTGCGTGCCGACGATACCAACCACCAGCGGCAGCGGCGGACTTTCTCGCATGCCTTTTCCGATCGTGCCGTGCTCAAGCAGGAGAGCCTCGTCCAGGGCCATGTCCATAACTTGATGGGCAAGCTAGCCGATGAGGATGCCGAGCCTGCTTCTTCTCGTGGCCGCGTGGATCTCGTGACCTGGCTAAGTTACCTGGCCTTTGACATCATGGGCGACCTTATGTACGGCGAGCCTCTCGGCATGCTCGATAACGACCAGTCTGCTCGCCAGTGGGTTCGCGACACGTACTCGACCATCAAGACGGTCACGCTCGGCATGGCAATGATGGGTTGGCACCCACCCCTGGGCCCGCTGCTCCTCAGATCTATCTGGGGAAGCAGTGGTAAGCGCCGCGCCCGGCACAATCGCTTCTCCATGGATCGCGTTGATAAGCGCCTGGACCGCGGCGACGACTCAGGTAGCGACATCTGGTCGATGATTATGCAAAGCAGCGGCGATGAGAAGCGACCAGGCATCTCGCGCGCCGAGATGTATTCCAATGCTGCAACGTTCATGATCGGTGGGACCGAGACTACCACGGCTGCTACGTCAGCCCTGAGCTACCTGCTGCTCACTCACCCGACCAAGATGGCCACGCTGCGCGCTGAGCTCGATACTGCCATCAAGAATCCGCAGGAAGACATTACATTCACCAATCTGCGAAAGCTGCCGTATCTTAACGCGTGCATTGAGGAAGCCATGCGTCTCTATCCACCTGCGCCAACGCCTATGCCGCGCATGATACCCCAAGGGGGACGTGTCATCTGCGAACGCTACGTGCCGGCGGGTACACGCGTTGACATTCCGCTGTATGCCATTGCGCATCATCCAGACAATTTTGTTGATCCAGAGGAATTTGTACCGGAGCGGTGGTTGAGCGACGACGACCGGCCCGCCAAGTATACTGATGATCGGAAAGATTGCGTCAAGGTGTTTTCCGCGGGCCCAAGAGATTGTATTGGCAAGAAGTGAGTCAAATTCTCGTGTCTATTCTTTATTCTTGGGTGTCTTGTCCCTCTGTGTGAGGAGCCGTGATTACTGACTACATTTGACGCAGCCTTGCATATCCCGAGATGAGGCTCATCATAACCAGCCTGCTGTACAACTTCGATCTTGAGCTGGCTGACCCCGACTTCAAGTGGTTGGATCAGAATAGTTATGGGATTTGGGACAAGCATCCGCTTTGGGTGAAGTTAGTCACTCGTCAATTTGAACAGGGTCACTAAATGGCCAATGTAAACATCGAAGAAGGTCCCGCGAAGCAATTCAATTGATCTACGTTATTTGATTTGAATTAAACAATTTTGACTACCGGAAGTGTGATTTCTTGGTTCGACCTACGAACGATAAAATCTGCACGACAGCAGCACTAAGTGCTTGCATGCACATCCACCGGCCCCTGAGCGCAGACCACGCGCTCTCTATTGCGCAGGGACGTTCAACTGATCCGGTCGTTGTGGCACCTCGATAGTGTTATTGTTTTTACTTGCGGTTTTCAAGTAGCATAAAGTGGGTAAAAGGATGTTGAAATAAGGTGAATCGCCATCTCTTACCACGATAGGTTTAGCGCACCATTGAGTTTATGCTGTCATCTTAGCGTTCCTCAAGAGCATCCGGTAGACCGGTTACTTCATCAGGCTGCATGACGACAGATTCCCAGGTCTCCCGACAGATTCCCATGTCGGGGCAGTCTCTCTCAGCGCCCTACACCCTCTTTTCTTCCCACCTAACCTCCGGGAATCTCCGGGCAAATTCAAATAGACTTTACGACGCGTTGATACGAACCCGAAAGTTTTATGCGGCCACACTTTGTTTTTGTTTTTCCGTTTTTTCTCTTTTAGGGTATCGGGGAGTTCTTTTGACAGACGGGCCGGACTTTCAATTGACATACTCGCATTCATTGACGTCTTGTCAACTTAAAGACGCCTTGACTTCAACCGATTCCCTTTTTTACCATTTCGGGGTTAGTTTCATCTGATCACCGATGATGGGCAACGGAGCGGGAGCCTCGAGGGGAATTCTCTTCGCCGACATTCATGCCTGGTTACCATATAGATCACATCTGCAAGTTCATTACGATTCATGTTCTATTGCACTGGATGTTTACAGCACTTGATGTTTACAGCACTTGATCACACTTGATGAGCACTAACAAGATGTGGTAAAAGTGGATGCGTCTTGCGTCTTTGTGTCATTCACATTCTGAAGGTCGATATCACATTCCACCTGAGTCTCTATCTTAATCTTTACAACTTAATAATCTTGGAGAGCGATCGACAATTCTTTGACCAAATCTATCCTTACCGGCCGGTATCAACACCTGGTCACATCCGCATTTCGTTGTGGTTAAGAACCATGGCTACTGCGCACCCCGCCGATGATATGGCGGAGAACAAGCGGCCGGCGGGTCGATCTTCGCGTCCGCCTCACTCCCGCTACTCTCTCGTCAGCTTTCCCGGCCTCCCCAGTGACAATCGACCCCCTTCCGTCCACATCTCTGCGGATGAGTACAAGGCCATAACAGACCTTGTCGAGCTCGCCAAAAAGTTCCTTGATCAACAAGGTGGCGATGTCACGACGTCGTCGACCCAAGAAGGCTCCCTTGACGCCTCAAAGGCCCCGAAGCAGGATGGGCCTCTCGACCCCTTCGGCGCCAACTTCGACGCGCGAGAGTGGGCCAAGTCATTCTACCGCTTCCGTTCCGACAGCTGCGAAGTTCGCAAGGCGGGCGTGGCATTCCGCAAGCTCACTATCTCAGGCTACGGAGCTGACACAGCATACCAGCAAACAGTAGGCAACGCCTGGTGGCTCACGGCCGTGGCGGCTATGCGTGGTCTGTTGCGCATGAAGCGCCAGCAAGTGCGCATCCTACATAATCTCGAAGGGGTGTTGAACGACGGTGAGATGCTGTGTGTGTTGGGTCCGCCGGGCAGCGGGTGTTCGACCTTCTTGCGGACAATTGCAGGAGATACGCAAGGCACACAAGTTGCAGAGACCGCCCACCTTAACTACCGTGGCGTGAGTGCCGATGAGATGAAGCGCTACTTCAAGGGCGACGCCATCTACACTGCCGAGGAGGATGTTCATTTCCCGGCGCTATCGGTAGCGGACACGCTGTTCTTCGCGGCGCGGGCGAGGGCGCCCAAGACTCGGCCCGGGGGACTCACCGCTGATGAGTACGCACGGAGGGTGCGCGACGTGACCATGGCCATGCTTGGTATCCAGCACACGATGGAGACACCCGTCGGTGGTACTGACGGTGACACGGTGCGTGGCGTGTCGGGTGGCGAACGCAAACGCGTCAGCATCGCGGAGGCGGCGTTAAGCTTTGCGCCGATTCAGTGCTGGGATAACAGCACTCGCGGGCTCGACAGCGCCGCGACTGTCGACCTTTGCAAGACACTGCGTATCCAAAGCGACATCATGGGCATGGCGAGCGCAGTGGCCATCTATCAGGCCCCACAGATGGCCTACGAGTTGTTTGACAAGGTACTGGTCCTCTATGATGGACGCCAGATCTACTTTGGCAAGACAACGGAAGCCAAACGATATTTCCAGCGGCTGGGCTTCGTTTGTCCCCGGAACCAGACCACGCCAGACTTTCTGACCTCCATGACCAGCCCAGCTGAGCGTGAAGGCATCGTCAAGCCCGGGCACGAGGCAAAGGTCCCGCATACCCCTGACGAGTTCGCTGAAGCGTGGCGAACGAGCAGTCACCGGCACCACGTTAGCGAGGAAGTAGACGCCTACGATGCATCCTTTTCTTTGAGCGGCTCACGCACCCACTATGCTGACTTCTTGGCGAGCAAGAAAAGCGATCAATCGGGGCTGCAGCGGTGGAAGTCACCTTACACCGTCTCATACCCGCGGCAGGTCATGCTGTGCCTTTGGCGCGCCCTCGCGCTGCTCAAGGCGGCGCCACAGATGACGGTGATGATGCTTGTCATCAATCTATTCCAGACTCTCATCGTGGCCAGCATTTTCTTCCGGTTGCCCGACACGGCCGAGTCGATGAAGTCGCGCAGCACGCTCATGTTCACCGCCGCGCTGGTCAACGCCTTTGGATGCGTGCTTGAGGTTGCGGCCTTGTATGCCAAGCGCGACATCGTCGAGAAACATGTGCGCTATGCGCTGTATCACGCCTCTGCTGAGGCTATTGCGGACTTGGTCATGAGCTTGCCCTACAAACTGCTTAACGCCATCACGGTCAATACCCTCTTCTACTGGATGTGCAATTTGCGCACGGATACCGGGTCCTTTTTATTCTTCGTCCTTATTCAATTCGCCATGACTCTTGCCGTGAGCTTGCTTTTCCGGCTGGTCGCTTCTGTCACCAAGAGCCACACGGCAGCCATGGCCCCGTCGACAATAGTCCTGCTTACACTGTCGCTATACACGGGTTTTGCGGTTCCGCCGATGTATTACAAGTCTTACACAGCGTGGATCGCCAAGGTTAGCCCCGTGGCGTATGGGTTTGAGGCTCTCATGATCAACGAATTCGGTCACGGACGGAAATTCCCCTGCAAACTGTTTGTTCCATCTGGCCCGGGCTATGAAAATGCAGAGATGATGCCGCAAACCCGTGTGTGTGCCGCGCAAGGGGGTGTCGCGGGTGCCAATTCCATTGATGGGAGCGCGTACATTACCAATGCGTTCGGGTACTCGGACAGCCACCGTTGGCGGAACGTCGGCCTCATTTTTGTATTTTCAGCCGCTTACTTTTTGCTGCACCTTCTGGCCACGGAGCTGGTTAGCAGCAAGAAGAGCAAGCAGGAGATGCTTGTCTTCCCAAGGGGAAAGATCCCGATTGGGCGCACAAAAGACGTGGAGGATCACATCACCAGGGGAAAGACGGAGGCGCCGAGCACCAGTACGAGCATTCCTATGGCATCCCTGCCGGTCTCACCTGTTGCACCCGTTGTTGTCAAAAGAGGATTTGCTGGCATGTATCCGTACACTGATGGGGGCTCTCCAACCACGAGGGCTAGGAGGTTGCACTATTCGGACACGGCCAGCACAATCACAAATTCTCCGGTTAAAGCCTGGAATATGTCGCTGCGGCAACGAGACAGATTCGAGGACCATACTGCTGGCGGTAACGATAGCGTTGGGTTGTCTATCGACCGCCAGACAGCCATCTTCCACTGGAGCAACGTCTGCTACGAAATCAAGGTCAAGAAGAATGAGACGAAGCGCATCCTGGACTGTGTGGATGGGTGGTGTGAGCCGGGGACGCTCACTGCGCTTATGGGCGTCTCGGGCGCCGGCAAGACCACCCTCCTCGACGCCCTCGCCTCTCGCCTATCTATTGGCGTGGTGACGGGCGAGATGCTGGTAGACGGGGCCCCCCGCGATGCCTCCTTCCAGCAGAAGACGGGCTACGTCAAACAGCAAGATCAACACTTAGTTACATCAACGGTGCGTGAGGCACTTACCTTCAGCGCTGTCCTCCGCCAGCCTTCTCGATTTTCCCACAAAGAAAAGATCGCGTACGTCGATAAAGTCATTGAGATTCTGGGCATGGGCGAATATGCAGATGCAGTAGTCGGCGTGCCTGGGGAGGGTTTGAATGTGGAACAACGGAAGAAACTAACAATCGGCGTTGAGCTGGCTGCTCGTCCCGCACTACTTCTCTTTTTGGATGAGCCCACCTCGGGATTGGATTCGCAGACGAGCTTATCCATCTGCACTCTGCTGGAGACGTTGAGGGACAATGGGCAGGCTATCCTGTGCACAATCCATCAACCGTCAGCAGTTGTAAGTGTTCTCCATTCCACCGCGGTACATATCCGTCCGGGGGTTACTTATATCCGTACACTGCTAACACAATGCGTGATCAAACATTAGCTCTTCGAGCGGTTTGACAGACTACTTCTTCTTGCTCGTGGCGGACGGACCGTCTACTTTGGCCAGATTGGACGCAACGCCAAAGTCTTACTTGACTATTTTGTCCGCAATGGCGGACCGCAACCAAAGAAGGGACAGAATCCGGCTGAGTACATCCTCGACCAAGTTCACGCCAGTGAGGGAGGAAATAAGGGCGTGGATTGGCCAAGCGCATGGCGGAAGAGCACTGAGTATGGCAAAGTCAAGGCCCACCTGACCCGACTCAAAGAGAAAGGAAATGGCTCGTACCACCACTCAACACAACAGCAGCAACAGAAGGATCCCCCTTTCGCCGCTCCTTTGGCGGTCCAGTTCTCCGAGGTTACTACGCGTTTGTCGCGACATTACTGGCGCAACCCAAGTTACATCTATTCGAAGATACTATTGACTTTCGGCGCGGCCCTCTTCATTGGACTCTCTCTGCTCAACTTGCCCAACACGCAGGTGGGAATCACGATCCAGACCATCGCCATCTTCATGTTCCTCACGACACACCTCAACCTAATTCAGCAGAGCGTACCCGTGTTCATGACGCAACGCACGCTCTATGAAGGCCGCGAGCAACTCTCACGCACGTACTCGTGGTCCGCATTCATGGGAGCTCAAATAGTTGTCGAGATGGCCTATAACGCGGTCATGGCCCCTCCGGCGTTCCTGGCATGGTACTACCTCGTTGGACTGAACCGCAATGCGGCAGAGACACACCAGACCGCCGCACGTGGCGGGCTGGCGTTTCTGTTCATGCTCGTCTTCTTCCTGCAGGCCAGCACATTTGGGCATATGATCGGAGCGGCCTTCAACCTCGCCGACCAAGCCGCCGGTATCGGGAATCTGTTGTTTGTTATGATGTTTATCTTCAACGGCATTCTCGCCAAGCCTCCAAAGTTCTGGGTTTGGGTGTATCGCGTCAACCCATTCACCTATCTTGTTGAGGGGCTTTTAGGCACAGGTCTCGCCAATGCGGCTATCCACTGCGAGAACAATGAGTTTCTACACATCAACCCGCCGCCGGGGCAGAACTGCGGCCAGTACCTGCAACCCTTTGCTTCCCAGACGGGCGGATATCTTGCCGATCCGGCCGCTGCTGAGAATTGCAGTTTTTGCAAAACGAGCAATACAAATCAGGTGCTGGCTGGGGTGGAAGTGGAGTTCAGCAACCGCTGGCGAGACTTGGGTATTTTGTTCGCATTTGTGTTCTTCAATGCCATTGCTGCTTTGGGTTTCTACTGGCTCCGTGTCCCCAAGCCCAAGAAAGACAAAGGTGGCAACTCACCAACGTCCACATCACCACCGGGCCAAGATGGTAGCAGCCCAAATCATACTGCAGATTGGAACCATCTTGAGGTGACGGAGAGGCAAAGGAGTTTCGGCAATGGGTCATCCAGACATCCCTCAAGGAAGTCTAGGAACTTGGCGGGCAACTCCTTCCAGGCGTCACGAGCCAGCGCGCTTAGATCACTTCGGTCATCCATCATGGGTGGCAGTCAAGTGCTCCGGGACAATGCGAAGAGATACTGGGATGACGACGGATATGATACTGACGACACTCGCATGATTGACCCTGCAGTAGAGGAAGGCTTGGATACTTTGAATGCGGGTGAAGAATGGGAGCAGGATGTACCCGTGGAGTTTATTATGCAAAAGCCAGCCGCAAAACCTCAGTATTGGATCTAACACCAGTCAATCGACATACTTAGTTTAAACCAGCCATAATGAAATAGTTAAGCGGTCATCTCAAAATTGACATCTGGTGCTCAACACAACCCGTGCCAATTATGATGGCTATTAAAAGCTCTCTAGTAACTCCGACTAAAGTTCATCACTACGTTAGGACTACAGACTGCAACATCTGGAGAGATTATGAGTGTCTCTAAATAGTTTCATCGAAGTCACGCCATACTTGTTCGCTAGTATTGTCATGTTGCCGCTAAATGACGGTTTCTCTCGACATCGATCGCAGTTCCGTGGCCCTTTCACGCCGGTTTGGGTGTCGCTATAAGATTTGAGTTTTGAACACAGCACATATTTTCATGAGTACCTCAATTGTTTGTGAAAGAATAACCGTTCTTCCAGAGTACACCCAGCCATGGGTAGCTCAGCCTCAGATCTGCTTGTGTGGAGATGAATATTCCCGAAGTTCAAACAAAGTCGATTGAAAATGTTTGGCAAGTACCTAGATACTGTTTGTCACTCGTGAAATCTACAGGTCCTCCTTCAACAAGCACTCAATCACGTTCCCCAAGCCACAACAAATCCAAACCTTAGCAATAATTAAGCCAGCTGCCTCAACAACATTATTCAATTCATTCAAAGTTCTCTGACAACCATTTGGACTAACGGTAAGGACAAACCCTCCGATGAGCCCCATGGCCTGGAATTCACCATAATTCTTCAGCAAAGGGGGCGGTGCGTTGGGCAACATGGTGTCGCCGCATGTTGGGTGCATCATGTACTCGCCAATGAGCAGCCGCGACTTTCCGGGCGTCATGGCATTCTTGATGTGCGTGAACATGGTGATCAAGTCTTCGTTATGCCAGTCCACAATGACCGACCGGAACCAGTATACATCGGCGCCTTTGACAGGGTTCTCGTTGAAGAAGTCGTGCGTGGTGAGCTTGACCGCGCCGGTTGCCAAGGCCCGCGGATCCGTCTCTTGCCAGTGGGCAGTGGCGTGCTCGATCATGCCGGGCTGATCCTGGACGATGCCGACAAAATCGTTCTGGCGGTCGGGAAAGTTAGTTCGCAGGGCTTGAATCGAGCTGCCGAGCCCTCCGCCGACGTCAACGACCACGGCACCATTTCGGAGAATGTCTTCCCAGGGGTACCCCCGCACGTCTGTCAGCCCGTGCAAGTACTCCCCCAGCGATGCGAGCCATAAGTTGAAGCAGTCACGCCACTCGGGATGCGCGTTCAAGAACTCGAACTGGCCCATGCCCTTGCCGATGGTCTTGGAGAAAGCCGAATCTCGAGGGGCATAGCTGGCGCAGAGAACTGGGTCCTTGAGAAGACTTGGAAGCACGTCGGCTGTAGGGAAAAGAAAGGAGGCGTAGCGCACCGAGTTGGCGAGCCGCTCATCGGTCGCCAGGGCGGTCGATGCCTCGTCGTTGGCGAAGACGCCGAGGGCTGTCTCGGAGAAGATATGGTGCGCGCACAACATCCTCATCACGAGTCCCAGCTTGTTCGTATCGACGATTCCCGTCTTCGAGGCGAGGGTGTCGAGGTGCATGGGCCCGCTGTCCGCCAGCAACTGGGGTATATCCCATTCGACAGCCATATGCAGTGCGCGCGACACGAAATAGCTATGAGCCAGGTGACCGAGACGCCATTGTGGCGTGAGAACGGCCGCCTCGAGTGAGCCTGCGGCGGCGATGATGCATTTGCGGGCCTCCTCCGTCTTCGGTCCTCTCGGGATGCGCACGTCGGCTTTGTTGTCGGCCATGGGCTTGCGAGATGGAGAGTAGGAAAGTTCGGTGATGAGGTCATTCACCGAGGTGGTTAGTAAGTCCAGAAGGGACCGGAGCTTGGTGATCTGTTGTTCTGCCGTAGCCATGTTAATTGAGGAGTGCGAATATTTTCTTCTCACTTGTCAACGGTCTCAGGACTTTGTGCATCACTTTTCTTTACTTCGTTCATCATCTATTTGACTGTTTCCTGGGGCTCCGAAAGCCTGTCCTCTTTGGTGTTATTCCCAATCCATTCCTATGAAAGTTCGGCCTCATCAATAAAATTTGGTGATTGTCCTGGCGGAGATGAGCGTAGGTCCAGTCCATCGTGTTCGGGCTCGAAGGTAGTACAGTGAAGATGGGGTTGATATTCTCCGCTGGCGACATGATCGGAAGACTCGGGGTCGAGTGATGTAATTGCAGTTCGCTTTGAAAATGTGGGTATCGAAGAGGGTTTGTGATAGTAGAGGCGAGGAACTTCTTGGTGTTTCGTGTTCGTGCTGAGAGCCACTACGATGGACATGGTCAAGGGGCCGTTAGACTTCTTATTAGGAGTTCCCCACCCCGAACTGACTTTATGACGAAGTCTTGTCAACAAGGTTAGGGCCCGTGAACCTTTCACCTGTACAATCAGTTCCCAAACCTTGATTTTCCCACCAGTTCGCTCAACAGAACTCTTCAATCTGCATGAAACGTGTATTTAGACTTCGAGTCCAGCCCTGCCAGGCCATGCTCTCAGCGCGACTCAAATGCTCATTTTGTCATTAGTCCCGTTTCACATGTCAAGAACAGGCTGGTCCCCATTTACATACGTACCTGATCAGTCCGGCTGCCCGGATCGCGTGCGTACTCGCATTCCAGAAATCACTTAGCCATTTCGATCATTTCTTTGATTATTTTTGTTTTTTTTTCTCTTCATCCTGATTTCTTACTATATTTTGTATATCAATATTGGCCTTCCTTGCGCCTGTTACTTCGTCAGTGACGGTCTGATGTATTAATGCGAGTCCGAAAAGGGTAACCTCTTGCGACATTCGGCATGCAGGACATGCACTCCTAGAAAGATTGACTCAGGCGAACACCACAAAGAGACCTATGATCACGTTAGGTTCCGAAAGCAAAGAGCTGGATATCAAAATGGAAACAGGCAACATCAGCGCGAATACCAGCCAAGCAGACAGCCAGGATACGACAATTGACACACGCAACCTCGCCATGAAAAATCACGACTTAACCACCCTCCATCACGCTAGCGGCTCCTCAAAGAGAAATATCTACAACGAAGTTGAATTTTCCGCCTCTGCTGAAGGAGAACCGCTAATTTCCTCATGGCTCCCCACCCTCCACAACACTCTGTCTTCCCTCTTACGCTGGACGGGCGCCTACCCAGCCTACATCCAGGACGCTCATCTCGCTTTCGTACGTGAGGCTGTGGGCCCCCGCCTCAAGCAGCCACCCACCACGGCTGATAGGCTGCACTATATTCTGACGCACAATCACTCGCCCTACGAAGCAAGCCTCGCCTTTGCGTCTCACCAACCGCCCAAGGTGCGGTTTACAGTGCAACCGTTGGTGGACCCTAGCACTTTAGGTGGGGATCCCCTGGGGCAGAAAGGACTGCGAGAGAAGTTGGAGAATTTGGCGTCTTCTTGCGGCGCAGACCGCACCTGGTTGGATGCCTTTGTTGATTCTGTCTTTCTCACTGCCGAGGAGGAGGCGGGCTTGGTCGATAAAACGACCAATGGTAGCCCCGCAGGTGCTCTACCGCGACAGATCTGCTATGCCGGGTTTGACTTCGAATCCGAAGAGAACGATGGAAAAGCGGCCATCGGCATGAAAGCGTACCTATTTCCGCAACTCAAAGCGCTTGCAACCGGCCGAAGCCTGGTGAGCATCACCGAGTCTATCGTTGCACGACTTGCAGAGGGTAACGAGGGTTTGTTGGCCGCCTGGGCATTGCTGAGAACGTTCCTCGATTCCTACGGCGCGGAAAACATCAACATATACTTCCTCGCTATTGACTGCCTCCCTTATGAGATGGAACCTCGTTTCAAGATATACGCGCACACACACGCCAACTCACTCGCCTCAGCCCGCCATATCTTCACCTTGGGTGGCCGCCTGGCTCATTCCACGGATTTCCTACCACAAGTCTGGCCACTGCTGATGGACATGGAGGACATTCCCCAAGCCAGCATGGAAGACCTGGAAAAGCCACTAAATGACCCAGACAGCAAGTATTGCGGGCTCTGCTTCGCATTTGAGATGATGCCGGGCAAGAATGTCCCGCAAGTCAAGATGTACGTCCCGATGTGGCAGTACGCGCGCGATAAGGCTGGAGTCGTCGAGAGGTATGATCGCATACTCCAAAATCAGGGAATGATGATGGGTGATTACGACTTGAAAGCAGCTGTCAAAGATGCCTTGTAAGTATCACCCTTGCCCCAAAAGGATCTACTGGGCTTTTGAATGCTTATCCATACTAACTCATTCCTCTTCGTTTCCATCGAAAAAGCAAGCATGACACAGAGATCGGTCTACATACTATGGCATCGGTTTCCTCATCTCAGAAGGGTGTAGGTTTAAGCACCTACTTTGGGCCAAGGCTTTGGGCGTGAGCTTTGTTGATTCGGTGATATGTTCCACTACGATAGGCTATATTTTAGGTCACATGTTTGGTTATGGAATGTGGTCAGGAAATATTATCAATCTTATTTTTCTTGACAGTATACTGTAACTCACGCGCACTTCCCTTTATCCAAATACTTCTTGACCGCATCGTCCGCCTGAACCAGGTTATCCACATGCAGTAGAACATGGTTGTCCGGCCTGATAATGATTCCCTTCCCCTCTTTGATTTCCGGGACCACTTCAAACCAACTTTCGGGCAGACCAAGGCTTGCCACATCAATTGCCCAGTGGCAGGATGCGAACGCCGGATTCGCGAAGTGCAGCACGGTGAATCGATCGTAGGGCACAAGGTCGAAAAGGGATAACCCATCGTTGATGGTCCCGTGCGGCAGCCTTGCTCCAGGACATGCTCGTGGCACGTATACCGTTGGCTTTTCAAGAAGAGACAACGTCCGAGACGGATCGTCGTAGATGAATCCGAGCTGGAGAGCTAGAGAGTCGAAATGTCTGCTCGCCTCTGTGACTGCCTCAACTGCCGTAGCGGAAACGGCGGGCCGTTGGAGGAATCCATCCATGGTGAGATCTGGCGCCTGCGCCCTCGCTTCTTTGTACTGGAGGGCGAGGCCCACCAGTATGGTACTGACGGAGTAGAAGGCGGCCTCACTAGCCTTGGAGTACTCGATATTTGCCAGTGCAACAGGTCGACGCTCACGGGTGAAGCTGGTGAGAAGGCTCGGGGTGCCTTTCCCCTGGATTATGGCAGCAAGTTTCCACACCAGGTTGTGTGCATCGGCGATGCCTGTGTTGAGACCGAGACCACCCTGAGGCGGCAAGCTGTGGGCAGCATCTCCCAAAAGAAACACACGGAGCGTTGCATCACTGTACGAGAATGCCACCCGAGGAGCAGTCTCCCAAATAGTACGAAGGACCTCCGAGTATTGCAGACCTGGAAGGCAGGCCTCAATTGGTGGTGCCTTGGGTTGTCCACCAGTTGACGCGGGGTCCATGACAGGAACGACGTGGACGAAGGAGGAATCGACATTGTGTGCGATGAACTCGCTGGGATGCTCGGGGTGGAAGCAAAAGTAGAGCATGGCCTCGCGACCCGGCGGAAGCGCAGAGCGCAGGCTGCCTTTACAGACAATTGACTGGTAAGCATGGCCAGTTCCCAAGGATTCAAACTCAATGCCGGCCGTCTTATCCCGCACGGTCGAATTGGCGCCATCGGCACCAATGACGAAATCGGCCTCGATGCTGAGTGTTTTGATGTCGCGATCCTGTCCCTTGGGACTGCACGAAACGACGCAGCCAGTCCCCTCCACATCCGTAATGTCGACTGCATCCACCTGCCAGCCCCTCCTGAATTGAACGAGGCCGGTCTCCACTACCGCCTTCTCGAGGAGGCGTTCTAGCTCTGGCTGTGGCCAATTCACCAAAGGCTCGGGTGTCAGAGTGCGCACCTTGTCATCTTGGCGTTCGTAGGGGAAGCAGCCAATCTCGGCATCGGCCAGGCCATAAACAAGACGCACCAGTCCGGCATCTTCGGCTGTCGCTGCATGTTTTCGGATATAAGCAACATCTAAGCCTGCCTGGCGGAATATTTCTAGCGTCATGGGATTGATCGTATGTGCTTTGGGGTGGTCAGAAACGCCTAGGCGCCTCTCCAAGACGATGGACTCGATCTTCTGGCGGGCAAGGAGATAGGCCGTGAACAAGCCAACCGGACCTCCACCTGCAATGACGACACGAGTCTTTTCGATTTTCTGCATGGTCTTTGGTGGTTGATTGCGGCTTGGGTTCACGTATATGTGGCAATATGCTTGGGGTATCGTGGGGAAGAGATAGGGAAGAGATTGTTCAGGTGGTGATAATGGCTTGCGGTTGTTGGGAAATAGATGAAGAATGAGAGAAATGACGCGACCAGCGGCGACATTATCACTTTCCCCCACCTTCGTTGTTTTAATTAGGTTTATCTGAGGTAAGCCTTGCTTCATGCAAATATCTCCAAAGAACGAACCGCACGGGACCAGCCGCATGACAAAGTTCTTACTACTCCACAGACACGATTTCTTTTATCTGCCCGCACAATACTCCAAATCCTGCCAGTCGGGTCCCCGTTGATCGATCTTTTTCACCACCGCACGCACGGATGAACTCTAGCTTACGAGAATCGAGTCCGGCTCTACACTAGGTGTTTAAAGACTTGCGCATTGCTCCCGATGAGTCCTCCACGTCTTTTATGGGAAGTAGGTTTCCATACAGCGCTTACACTAAAGCTGCGGCCATTTGTAGCCCTAGCAGACTTCCTTCGACCTTTCCGCCCATGATAATCTGACCGATATGAAAGCACTGCTCATCGCTGACATACTAATTGATTTTCCCGTGATTCAATACCTGCTTCTCATCTACTCCAAATGCCAGAGGCCCGTCATCGATCACGGTAGCTCGGCGCACATCACGAGCAGTCATGTCGATGTTGTAGGGGTTCGCGCGATGCATGGATTTCCTACCGGTTGTCACATCTCAGTAAAATGCATGGGATAGATTGTTTGTAGAGTTGAAAGCAGGAACTCATGTTAGTGAGGGAAAAGAAATGAATAAAATGCTCACCGATTATCCCACCACACCATATCACCACCATCTAACCACTCCATGCTAAAGACATACTAGTACAGGTCAGCGGCCTTACGCATAGGCCCTCAGGACAGTTTTATGGGCGTTCTCTTCAGGGTTACCTTTGGCTGTGTACAGTGATCAATGAGCTCCCAAATCAGCTTCTGGCTCTGCTCAAAGCTGCGACCCAGTACCAGCTTGGCGTGCGCGGCCAGATAGAGTGTCTTTTTCCCGTCCGGCCCAATTTGGACAAGACGGTGGTATGCCGACTTCTCGGCCGCTCGCTCGTTGTCCAGAGGTTGTGCAAAGGCCTGTGGGGAGGCCAACCGGCGAGAGTGCCACAGGTCATGCTCGACAATTAGATCCTCCAACTCATCCTTCTTGGATCGGGGCAGATCAGCATAAGCTCGTGCCGTATCAGCGAAATGAGTCCACGAGCCGCCTTTAACGGGACTGCCATGGGATAGTAACAGCGAGTACTTTGATCTCTGTTGGTGGAAAGAAGAGTCCTGTGCGTTGTGTGAGTACTACTTACCATGATACGATCTCATGTTATGTTGGAACTAACCGTATGCCACAAAGCATTGCCTAAGCTGTGATCCCATCGTCTCTGGTTGGGCTGTACAGTGGTGCCGTCGAGATTGATACTGCAAGTAAGCCAATCAGTATCGTGTAAATTCCCCAATCAGGTACGAAGCCTTGCATACTTGCTAACGTCCCACAGTAGTGGATCACCTATGCGGTCGTTCTCAATGCCATAGAAGAAAGGGTTGATCTCAAGCTCCTGGCCTAGTTTCTGAGCGAATTCTATGTGTCCTTTGTTGTCCAGGCCAGTTTTGCGGAAAATCAAGACGCCGTATTTGTCTTGAATTTTCTTGAGCTATTCATATTCAGCTTATTAGAAAAGTCTAGTTGCGTTACTCGCCAAACCTCAATCGTGTGTGCTTACTTTTTCAATATCATCGGCGGGAAGCGGGAATGACCAGTCAATTCCGTCGATTTGAGCGCCGAAGGATGACTGCTCGTCTTGCAGGACCGGAGTGATGATGATGTGCCCCTCGTGAATCTGCCGATGGTTCCCGCCGCGATCCCCGAACCGTTGCTGCTCATTAGGCGGAAACGTGTTTTCGTACCTCCGCGGAAGACTTTGGATCATCGTAACAGCGGACATGGTGGAACTTGATTAGCTCGATAATGCGTATCTCGCAACGTGGAATTATCAGATGGACCGAGTATCAGCAACAGACCTCCGATGAATATATCACCACAGTCGAGACCCCACCCAGCGGCTTCATTGCCGACCGGACCGATCCTCCGCTGGCCGACCGAGCCGATAGGCTTTTGCCCTTCCTCAGACAGAAACACACAAAATCCGTATGCTGCGGCGACTGATCTTCAGGCCTCCCGAACCTGCCTTGCCTCATTTCCGTGAACAGCGCAGCAGCTTGACAAACCACCCTCCTACGATGACGTCTCAAGATAAGATTCTCATCACGGCTGGACCGTACCAGTTCTTGGCGGCCTTTGAGTCGGCGGCTCCCAAGACAGCGGCGGTATTTCGCAATCTGCTACCATACCGGCAACAACTTATTCACGTACGTTGGAGCGGCGAAGCGGTTTGGGTGCCGCTGGGTGAACAGGACTTCGGCCTGGGATTCGAAAACCACACCAGCCACCCTGGAGCAGGACAAATTCTCTTCTACCCCGGAGGCTACTCTGAAACGGAATTGCTCTTCTGCTACGGCGGCGTCTTGTTTGCGAGCAAGATGGGCTCCCTTTCTGCAAATCATTTCCTGACTATCATTGAGGGTGCCGAAAACCTCAGAGCGTTAGGCGAGCTGGTCCTTTGGAAAGGAGCACAGGATATCTTGTTCGAGCTGGCAGATGATGAGAGGTTCGTTCAATATTCGTCCCCGTGGCACCTTAGGAGCTAACGTTCGCTAGGATCAGCGCATTCAGGCGGAACAGCCAGACAATTCAAAAGGCTTCTAAGTTGTGACCGCTTAAGTGTGCTACCCACGACAGAGAAGGTCCTGTGTTCTCACACCCGGTGGATGTGGGGTTCCCAAAGTGTGCATAGATACGGCTGAAACTGGCTGCACGAAGCTCAATTGCATCAGATGAACACAAAAAGATCATTAATGAAAGGTTTTGGTTTTGTCACCCAGTTTTTTTTTTTTTTTTTTCTAGAAAGAGATTTTTTTTTTTTTTGCATCCGCACGCGTCCTGATATCCAATGGGATCGCAATCAAATAATCATACGTACGCATTGGCCTTTGAGCGAAATGGGCGGGAGTGGATTGAGGATCAGGATGAAATCCCAATCACGACTACGGATACCTACCTAGGCTGGACATCCCTGCTAGTTCCAGTACAGAGTAGTTCATTGGTAGTTGTTATCTTCAAAGTGGAGGTTATTCAGGTATTCTCCGACCCAGCCCCACATATGCCGAAGTGAAAGATGTGAGGTGAATGATAAGACCTCTCGGTTCCATCGGCCAGCGGGCCGCTCGGGTTGATACCGACCGACCCACCTCCTCCACGGAGCTGTACCTCATTATCTTACAGATAGCCCAGCTGAACTCGGTTTGATGACCAAGTTTATCTATCATATTCAGTATCTACTTGTCGAGGTACACGATTACAAGCATTGCTTCCTCGTCCTACATACAAACCATCGCGATGGGTCTGATGTTGAAGCCAGGGGCTTACGGCCCCTTACCAACTTTTTTTACTGACGACCAAGAAATCGACTACGAGTCGTACAAGAAGCATTTACTCAGTTAGCTATTGCTCCCTCTCCTAACCTAACGTGATTCATATTAATAAGTCATTGTGCAAGACCTCGCTAAAAGGGGAATCAGTGAGTGACCCAGGTTTCCTGCAGAACATTGACTATCCCGTGAAACACCGCCACTGACTTGTCTAGACCCCGTGTGCGCGGGATCGTTGGGTGAAGCAGTACATTTGGTATGCAAATTCAATTTGAGCCATTTTTCATGTGCGGGATTTTGCCTTAACCATCAAGAGTCATAGTCACCAGAGGAACGCGTTGCTCTCATTACCTTCATTAGACGCACACTTGACGATGCTGGCATGACGGACATGCCCATTGTGGCAGGTGTGGGTGGTTCTAGCACCAGAGAGACTATCAGACTTGTACATGCAGCCGCCAATGCTGGGGCGTAAGTCTTCAGCAACAAGTTACTTTGCACCTTAATCCATGGCTGATTTGCAACCCACAGAGATGCAGGGCTGGTCATTCTCCCAGCCTACTACGCTGCTAGCCTGAGCACCGACCAAGAACAAATCATTCAGTATTACGTTGATATATGCAAAGGGTCACCGGTCAGTAACTCCGCTCCCATCATAATCAATGGATATAGCTCAAATCCCTAGATTCCCCTGTTCCTGTACAACTTTCCGGCAAACTCGGCAGGTTTGGACATGTCATCGGCGATCATCGAGGCGGTGATACGTCAAGCGCCTAACCTATGCGGCGTCAAACTCACGTAAGTGAAAAATATGATGTGACATGTCCGTGTTCTCTCGTGACCTCTGGTAGACTGACCTTTTGGGATAGTTGTGGTGGCAGCGTCGCAAAGCTGATTCGCCTATCATCCTTCATCAATAGCGAGCCGTCAGTCAATTCATGCCGGCCGTATCCCTTCCTGCTTTTGGACGGGCTCATCTCCGATTTGACGCCATGGATGAAGTGCGGCGGCCATGGAACCGTCAGCGGCATCCCTAATTTCGCTCCTGCTGCCTCCATGCGTCTGTGGGCACTTCTCAATAAGCCCGATCTTACAGACGATGAGAAGCGGGAAGCAGAGAGAATCCAGTCCATTCTATCCAATGCCGACGTGGCGGCTGTGCCTGCAGGTGTAAGGGGTATGAGTAAGTAATGGTTTGCATGTATCAGAAAGATGGGGATGATGTAGCTTTGACTAACACTATGCTCACGCAGAGTATGTCTTGCACAAACTCCACGGATATGGAATGGATCCCAGACGCCCACTGCTTAGATTGGGAGAAGCGGAGGGGGAACAATTAATGTCGCAATTCAAAGAAATGATCGAGCTGGAGGCAGAATACTCTGAAATAGCGTAGTTTTCAGATGTAGAGATGGAATGTTACAGCACAAAAGCTTAGGAACACAACGTAACAGTTCCAAAGTCTCTTGAGTCTCGGCCGAAGTAAGGGAACCTAAATTTTCACAGGACATGTGATAGAATTTTGCAAAGCAACTCAGTGACTTGAAGCTTTTTTGTTGACGATTAAGTCGCAATTACATAAGGCATCATATTTGCCCTCGGTCCAGGCTCTCCGTGCTATTGTACATTGGAGACGTTGTTAAAAAGAGATGGACTTTGTCGTAGCTTCACTTTGAATAAGGGGTTTGCGACAGCAGAAATGAATGCTAAGAGTCAGCATGTACTCCATTGCTCGTGAATTGAAAATAAAGGTGTAGTGTTTTGATAGCTGCCATGTATTCTCGTCTAGGTCCACCTTCTTCTCTGATTTGGGTTCAGGGATCAGCCAGTCAATCCACCTTACAAAACGTATCTGAAGTACGGCGAGTACTCGCCCATTTCGGCCAGTTGCTTCTCTGTGTATTTCCCCTCTAGTTCCTCTGGGGGTATGCGGTCTTTCTGAAGGTTGGCGCGGCGAAGTAGGTACCAGTTGGTGATGCAGGCACCATAACCACCTATAGCGACGAGTACAATGATGGTGGTGAAGCCGGAGCGGTATGTGGGGGCCTCATGGCTGACAAAGATGTTGACACCAATACAACCGCCAGCAAGCTGGCCCCAGGTTGACATCCAGCCCATGGCCGCGGCACGCTTGGCCGGGTTGCGCACATTGGTGCCGAGCCAGGAGCCGACTGCCGGGCCCTGCATGTTGTAGCCAGCGATGACAAGAAACAGAGCAAAGTAGCTTAGCCCGGAAAGGTTTGAATAATGCAAAGAGGGCCACAGGATGACGATGCCGATCGTGCCCACCGTGTAGCTGATGATCAACGACCGGGCCCTGCATTGATACCGATCGGAGTAGAAAGCAATGGCGACGACACAGAAGAAGGCGAAGACGTAGGGCGGGGAGGTCATAGCTTGGGCCTGGATGGCGGAATATCCGAGACTCTTCACCATCTTTCACAAGAGAATTTAGCGGAGAACTTCCATCAATGGGCTTTCCGGGGTACATACCGTTGCCAGAGTGTAGTTGACCGAGTATGTGGGCACGGAGCCACCAAAGGCCAGAAGAGAAGCGACAAGGTAGGTCTTCCAATCCTTGACGGCCTCAAAGAAGACACTCCAGCGGAATGTCAAGTCGGGAGGCACGGGACCATCGCGATACTTGACACGCAACTTGAGGTACTTCATCTCATCTGCGCTAAACCATCGGGAGCTCCATTTCTCTGGGAAGTCTACACATAATAGGAGACCGAGGCTACCGATAATGACGGTGATGCAACCTAGAGACAGATTCGGTCAGCAATGAATTCCCATCCAAATGGCCAGCTGGCAATGATAATGCATACCCTCAATGATGAAAAGCCACTGCCACTGTCGCAGGCCGTGATGATCCTGAAGTGGGCCAACAGCGTATGCTAGTAGGCCACCGAAAGCACCGGATAGCAAAGTTGCCGAGTACCACCACGCGCAACGAGACTGCAGCTCGTTGGGCAGATACCAGCAGCTGATCGTGTAGAAGCAACCTTGATACATTCCGGCCTCGAACAGTCCAAGCAACACACGGCAGATGACAAAGTCGTGGTAGCTCTTGACCCAGGCACCGCCCAGAGTAACACACCCCCAGCAGATGACGAGCGATGACAGCCAGATTCGGGGACCAATGCGACGCAGCATCATGCTATCGTCCATTGCAAAGGTCAGCAACGCTGGAGGGAAATCACAAAACGAGACACCATTAGTAGGGTAGGAAGATGACTCACTTGGATGGAGCTTCAAACATGGCATACATGATGATGAACCACGTCAAGGCCAGGTTGAATTGGGTATTGGTCATGTTGGTGTCTTCCATGAAGGTGTAGATCTTGACATTGCCAGCGTTGGACCGATCAATCGAGTTCAGCAGGTAGTACATGAACAGGAAGGGCAGGATGCGGGCATCGAGGCGCAGGATCATGCTCCGATGCGCCTTGGGATCGGCCGTAAAGTGGTCTTTGAGGCGCAGATACTCGACATACTCGGCGGCGTGCACAGCGTCGGTCATAAAGGGGGCTTGAACCTCAATGGTGCTGCCCACCTGCATTTCGACATTCTTGCTGTCGTCCATTGGGCTTTTAGACGCGTCTTTGGGCGCCTCGCCGGACGAGATGGAAGCTGGTGGCATGATGAAAGATGGCTATTGTCCCTCGATGAGGGCTTGGAACGCCGGTGTTAGTCTGGGTTGTCGTGAACCGGCCCCGTGGTTCAAGTACTTCGGGCTGCCGTACGAACATTGTGTCGCTATCGCCGTTATCAACGTCGGCTTTGTCGGCACTGGCCCGATCACCAGCGATAAGAACCTTGATACCATTAGCGCTGTTCATGGCATCCTTCTCGAGAAATAAGACACCCCCGGCAGCCGGGTCCTGGGTAATGGAAGCGGCCAGGAAATCATGGATCACAGTCGGTTGCGTGCCGATTTTAACGACGAGCTCGCGGTCGATGAGGCGATTGCGGCCCACACCGACTGGGGCGCCGGCGGACCACCCTCGGCAAAGATTTATCGGACCTCGAAAGGTACGTACAGCATGCTGCTATCTTTATCGTGTTTCCTACTCGTCTATCTTCTGCTGTATGATCCGCTGACCATCCTATCTGGCGCAGCTTGTGCCCAATGCCGCGGTCGCAAGCAGAAGTGCTCGGGGCCTGGCGGTGGCAGCAGCGCCGGCGCCTCGGCATCGGCACCGGAGGACCAAGCCCGGCAACCCTGTCGGCGATGCGCCCACTCGGGTGTTCAATGCTCCTTCACCACAGCTACCAATGAGCAAGGGTTCAATGACGTGGATGCCGCTAGCCGAAGCGCTCGCAAAGTTGACCGGCTCCAAAAGCAGGTCAATGAGCAGGCCAGCCGCATCAGCCAGCTGGAAGCGACCGTGAGCAACCTCAATGCTGCCGTCGCTGTCGTCTCCCGAGTGAACAGAACTCCAGATTCGGGTCTCGATGGTCTGCACGTCGCAAACCCGCCGGGCCCATCGCCGCAGGGCACGAAGAGATGGCACGATAGAGCCAGCGCGACAGCGACATCCCCCCTTTCCAAGCGAGCAAAGATCCGCAATGATGAGATATTCGCCAGCGGGCCCGCGTTGTTCCAAAATCCTAGTCCGGGGCGCCGAAGCGATGCTCACGGCTCTGTGGACTTCAGCACTCCCATGTCTATGCTCCGCCACTTGCGCCACGACATCCACGACATGAGCGTGGAGAACGAGGCCTTGGATCCGATAATCTGTGGCGTCATGACGATGGAGCAAGCCCAAGAAACCTTCGATACCTTCTTCGATCACTGTCACAAATGGGCACCGGTGCTATGCCCACAAACCCAGACCTCTGCGGCCATCATCAGGCAGTCCTGCCCGGCGCTATTCATATCCGTCTGTTGTATCGGATACCGCTTCACCAGTACGTCTACAACCGAGACGCAACGTCGTTACATGGCTCTCATCTCACTGTTGGACCACTCCCTAAGCCGTCTTCTCTTGAAACCAAACTTGGACGATGTAAATCTGGATCACATTCGCGCAATACTGCTGTATATACAATGGATGCCCGTCGACAATATTGGCAATTCTAGTAGATCTATCAGGTACAACGCCATCTCCGCATGGAGCATGCTGGGTCTGGCCATTCGGTATGCCCTTTTCCTCGGATTACACCAAGATGCAGTGCTCCCTTTCAAGTCAGACAACAACGAACTCCCGACACTGGAAGATGTCGGTCGGCTACGTGTGTGGATAAATCTGCTTACCTGCGATGCCGCCTTGACGCTTTCAAGCGGTCTCCCGGCGACGTTAAACCCGGATCCGGTGGTGGCCGTTGCTGGCCGCTTCAGGTCAAACGACAACGCTATTCATCCCGATGACACAAGGAGCTCAGCAACGTGCGAACTTGTGTCTATTCTTAAACGAGCCGCACGAAGAAGCGGAAGCCCCAATGCGCGCTCATTGGATGCCGACTGCTTGCGACAGGTCAATCTGGAGTTAGACACGTGGGAGACGGACTGGAATCCCATCATCGGCGACCAAATCCAGCACTACCAGATGCCGTTTACGACTCTGCGATCCTATCGTCTTTCTATCAACAGCGCATGTCTATCGCCACTCCTTCGGCCGTCGGGAGGCCAGGGCCAGATATCCATCTACGTGCTCCAGGCGCTGGAGGTCAGTCTGCACACGGCGGCCTTGACTATTTTCGCACTCGCAGAGCAATCCAGACGCCGGTCTTGGGGACATTATAAAAGTATCGATTCATTGCCTAGGGGCAGATACACTGCCGACATTGAGGCAATCAACCGCATCAAATACTCGGTGGACTCAACGTGGATCTCCTACAGCTTCGCGACTATGTTCCTTGTCTTATGCTACAAGAATGGAATCATCGATGAAAACTTGAAGATCTTGGCCTTATGCTATTCCACCGCGGACGTGGTAACCTTTCCTCGGCGACAAGCGCCATCCTCGCTTCTCTTCCGGTTGGTGTCATTGGCGATGCAGATATTTGACGTCGCAAGTACAAACCTCCTGGCACATCTTGCCTTGGATCAGAAATTGCTCCTCTCAGGTTTTTTTGCCGTCGTCCTGGGAGATTTGGACACGGATGACGGAATTCCATCCGAGATGCCAGCCATGGCGTCATATTCGGATCGGGAGGTGGAAGCCCTCTTCAATTCAATGGTGAATGGCATGGATTTGGGCTGGTACGCTGGCTGATTCCGGTCAATGAATTGTGTAGCCTACAAAGTGATTGCAGAGTTTTCAACATTGAGCAATGCATCCCAAACTATGTTTGCTGAATGATTCACGCCGATTTTGGTTGTTTCCTTCCAGGGTAGAACGATGGAATGAAAGCTTTACATAATAGGTGAAAAGCCGATGCTTGGTCCATCTCAGAGCGTGTATTTACTAACAAAAACATCAAATTAGAGGCCAAAAAGCCACTTGAAGTACCAGGCATGTCAGCTCGTTGTGTTTGGTGCCCGGAAACTGCGTCCGGATGGTTCGGGGTCTTTTTCTTTTTACCTTGCGAAAGACGCGTCAGCGCACAGAAAAGGGACTACTGACGATAGGTTCGTTCCATGACCTGAAGTACATAGCCCTATGTCATCGATCCTTCGCTCATCACTGATTTGTCTTTCTCTCCATACTATTTCTCCATTATCTGCCAGGGCTTCATGGTTCTGATTCATACCTCTGCTTAAAGATTGTACGGGTGACGCCGTTCCATTTCTGTTTCCCATGAAACTGTGCTTCAATCTCGTTCTCGGCTTATGGTATGCTTTTCCAAGATCTTTAAGCAATTGGTACCGCGATTGATGTTTCTCGGAGTGTTTCCATATCTCTACACATAACCTGCTAGCTGACACCGAGACATCCACGTCAATTACCCTGCCGACCGTCGCCCGAGTCACCCCATATCCGTTACACCGCCACCGCCATGTGCACTGGGTAGCGGGCAAGTGAACCTACCATCTGTGAAACCCCAGTTCATCCATCAACTCTCCGGAATGCCTGTCAAAGTCACATTTCCCTTTTTAGTTAGACATTTACGAGACTATTTTTGGTGGGTACCTACTAGGTTGTTTCTGGTTAGGTAGTTACGAGATCTCGGCAGTGAGCCAATCATGTGTTGTTGCTCGAAGTAGCTTGGCCAGTCCTAGCTAGACAGCGCAGCGATGGCGGAAGGGCTCAACGCTTACCTGCCTGCCTGCTTACTCTCGGGCTCCTAAGCCTCGTGGCTTCGTTGCTTCGCAATCTCGCATCTGAAAGGGCGGTTGCGAAGGAGCGAATCATGGAACGCGGGAGTCGAAATTGAGCCTTGTGGCACGTGCTGCAGAAGGATCTCGTACGTGTCTAACCCTTTTCAAAACGAGGTCAGTGACAGTTAGGGAATGGAATTCTCGGATTCAATGGTGATGCTACAGAAAGTGAGAAGAATGTAAATGTATTTATACAGCAAGGGCGCTCTGTAATGATCGATTCGGACCTTCCACCACTTGTGCAATCCAATACACCTACGACTGTCCTTCCTTTTACCATTCTTATTTTCCTAGGAGTTTGTTCAACTCGCAGCCAAGATGTCAAACACCTGCCCTCTTCTAAGCAATGCCAACTGCACTGTGGAGACATGTCCCCTCAGCTGCGCTCAAGTTGAATACCTTCCAACACTTGCTGGCAATGCCGTCTATGCCGCCATCTTTGGTCTGCTCCTTGTTGCTCAGATCGGGCTTGGCATTCGATACAAGACTTGGGGGTTCATGGTCGGCATGGTCTGCGGCCTTATTCTTGAGGTTGTCGGTTACGCAGGCAGAATTATGCTTCACGATAACCCGTTCGATTTCAACAATTTCATTATGTAAGCTTTGTTTTCCCCTGATCCTACGAACAGCGTTGCTGACAGTCTCTATAGCTATCTAGTTCCTCTGACAATCGCTCCCGCTTTCCTTGCTGGCGCCCTCTACCTCTGCCTTTCCCGCATAATCATCGTCCACGGCCAGCAGATTTCCCGCTTCAGCCCGCGCACCTACGCAATAACATTTATGACTAGCGATTTTATTTCGCTCGTTCTACAAGGTGCCGGTGGTGGAATTGCAGCCACGGCCGACGATCACTCTGGGAGTGAGACAGGCAGGGCCATCATGGTCGCGGGAGTTGTGTTTCAAGTCGTCTCGCTGCTCACCTTCATGCTGCTGTGGCTTGAATTCGTGATCCGGCTCCGCAAGACAGGCGAGGAAGTTAAGGATGCACGTTTCATTGACTTGAGGCGCACAAAGAAGTTTGCCTGGTTCCAATACGCACTGGGCGTAGCTGTTGTTCTCGTTTTCATCCGCTCGGTATATCGTGTTGCGGAACTCCAGCAAGGCTTTGACGGACCCATCGCCAACGACGAAGTGTCATTTATGATCTTGGAGGGGCCGATGATCATCCTGGCAGTTCTTGCAATGACGATTTTGAGCCCGGGTATTGCGTTTGGTGGCAAGTGGAATAGTGCAACCTGGTCGATCAAGCAGTCCAGAGATGCTGCTTTTACCGCGAGCGGCTCGTCTATGGAAGACATACAGAAGCATCCCGCTTAATATCGTTTAGCTATAATCGAGTGTGTGATAGTGGGGTCTAGGTCTAGATTTCCTTGTCATTTTCTTTGAGCCTTTGTCGATCGATAGACTAGAGTGTATTTAGAGAGGAGTCTTAGCAATGGAACTTTAGAAGTGATTGATCAATTACTCGTCTTTGCCTTGACCCCGACAATGGCTGACATGTATTCCCTGGTTTATAGCTTGATGTATTCCGTGATTGTCTGAAACTCCCCTAGCAGGCCCCACGGCTTAGTCTGGAACATTGCTTCAAGCGTGCCTGGATAAGTCGGGCTAGGCACGATGCTTTGATCAAACTTCCGAAAGTCAAAAGGCAGTTCGCATACGTTGTAGATCCGCGACTCGTCATCAGGAAGTGGCAAGCCATGGAGTCTGGAAGTCTCGTCTGGCAATCCATGTCGGTCTAGATGTTCTTCTTCCAGCTCGATCACTCGTTTGGCTGTGAGGTATGCGTGATGGGCGTTCCATAAGCCTTCTCGTCGAGGTGCTAGCCTCAACAATTCCAAAGCTCGTCTTCGTACTGCGGCATGACGACATTTCAGCGCAGCGTAGAAGAGGGGCCCTAACAGTTGCACGTCGAAAGATAGGAGTTGCGGTGTTCCCATTTTCTCCTTTGGCTTGATGACTTGTTCCGCATAATGTATAAGTTCTTCGAAGTCGGCTTGATAAGTATCCGTGGCCGTTTCTGAAGATGTGGTGCAGACTCGCGTCCAGATGTAAATGGCCTTGTAGTTTACTAAGAGTATGTTGACTGCGTCCTGATTGACGGGGTTACCGGTAGTCTGGATGCGCTGCAGCAGGTCCTCTAGTCGCTGGTGCCACGCGTCTAGCCTTGTTTGAAGTTTCGCCTGTTCAATGAGCTCGTCGATACCAATCTGAAATGCATCCGCTTTGGGACCGGTTGCGCGAATAAAACGGATGCAGGTGTCTGATATATCGAACAGTCGCCGTCTGGCACTATCAAGATCTTTATGAGGAGACTCTCCTTCATCCGAATGTGCGTATATCGCTGGGGTTACCCTCCCAGCAAGACAACACAGTACGCTAAGACGCGAGAACATTGGAACAATATAGTCTTCGATGTCGTTGAGATCCTGAGCCAAGAACCCTGAGGTGGAGTCTTGGGATCCTTCACCGTTGGGGCGGAGAGGCGCCAGAATGCTGAAACCACTATGAATGTGAATCATGGAAGATTCGGCATTGCCCCTAAGAAACTCAATGCACGTGAATAGAAGACAGCAAACCAAAGGAACCAAGATAGAGTTGGGGTGAGTCTCAATCCGCGCTGACAGAGACTTAATTGCGAAACTCCATTCTTTCCGAGCCTCGGGGTTGGCATTGACGAAGCCTGCCGGATGCTGCAAAGATGATTCGACGTCACGATAGATGAGACTGATGGCGGATACCGCGTGTCGAATTGAAGGTTCAGAATGCGATAGTTGCAAGACAAGCTTGCTCCAGAACTCGGAGTCGAATTGTCCATCTAAACTTGAGGCAAGATTCTGTGAGAAGAAATCGAGGCCGCTGTTACTTGAGACGAATACTGGTTGACTTTTCGTAGGGGGCAAATAGACCGTGATGACGTTACGGCGTGGCGGTGCCGCACGTGTTGTTCTATAGTCGCATTTCCGATTTCCAATAGCGCAACGTCGGCAAATTGGTTTTCCTTCATCGCATTTGACTCGGCGGGCTTTGCAGGTGCTGCATCCAGTTCGGACTTTGGACGTGCTTTCGCGGACTCGCTTCTCGGGGATCATAGTATACGATTATGCCCCAAGCCCTTGATCTCCAAAGATTATGGCAAATGACATGTGGCAAACAAAACAGCATAAGGTCAAAAATACACCTTCGAGAATGTGATGAGATAGCGCGGGTCGCTTAAATCGAAGGCAGCGGCAAGCTCAGTGCCAGAGAGAAATTTCAAAGGAGACTGTCACACTGTCAGCAGCTGATGGGGATGACGTGTCTCTATGTACTCCGCCGTTTTTTCTTAGTCCCTTCCATTCCACTGCGCCCCGTATCCACATTAAAGTCCGTCGGTCGTAGGATTCGTGGCTTGGTTCATGTATCTTGTCTTTCGGCAAGCTGACCAAAACTCAATAGGAACATGCTTATTGCTAGCGCGTCCGTTGGTATATGGTCTGTGCTCGAGCATTGTTTCACCTGTAAGACAGATTGAGCTAATGACTGATTGTTAAATCGTTGTCAAGCGTTCCCAACGCAACGCCGTCGCCTCCAGCCCTTTGGTCCATTTTCCAGAGCTACGGGCATGCGACTTAAGTATTCTTCAATCAGAGTTGTTCCAAAGTAAGGTATTAAATATGGAGCAGCTCATTCTGTATCGTCAAAAGAACATTCCAACTCCCTGACTCTGGAAACGAGGTGCGGTTGAGTAATCTGCAACTCGGGCGGACGTGAACTCGGCCTTACTTTGACCATGCACTTTCTTTCGCCATCAAGGATCTGAAATCAATGCATACTCTCACCTAATTGGTTGTAGAGGAAACCGCGGATTACAGTGTGCATCCATGGAGAGGCCGCGGCGGCCGCTCTGTTTATTATTGTTGTATCACAGCTGCCATACAAGTATCCAACGCATTGCTATTATCCCAATACAACTTGTCCTGTTCGAGTTGAGACGGCTAGGCCGGTCCCTCCAGCTGTCTTCCTTCTTGCCTCTTTGCCGAGGTCAGTTTCACCCAGCAAAAGTGCTTTAGCCACCACCTTCCATTCCTTATTGTCATTCCCGCTGGTCGATGGCATCAGAATCCATGCCCTGGTCCATCCGCAATCCCCATCTACCAGATCGGTTGGAACAGCAACTTGCATCTGACTTTCAGAGCTGACTGCACTGAAATTTTGCGTCAATAAGAATTGACTGAGAATTGCAACGTCTCCCTCCATTGTAGATTTGATTCGGGCTATAGGAGCAGACATCCAGTAGATTGACCGCGGGTCGGTGATCCATGTTATGAAACCGAGAGCTGCTTCGATGGAGTACGCGTCCTCTTGATCTCTCGGTTTCTCTTGGAGAGCCCGTTGGAACTCCTCAGACGACATTCGGAGGTCGTCGTTAATCTCGAAATCCGCAAAAATCCCGGTGTTGTAATTCCAACGAATCACCTCGCCTTGAAGTTGCGACCAGATGCGCTTTGCAAGGCCAGCCCCGCCCGCTAATATTGAAGCTAGAAACTGACGACGTGGCACTTCCATTTCTTCGTCGGTACGGAATGCTGGCATTCGCATGGCCTCTGTTTTGAGGGGGGGCAGAGTGCTCTTGATAGCGCCCGGGAAGATCCTGTAGGTCGCGTTGATTTCTTCTTCGCTGCACCCTGTAAATGAGCCAGTAAAAAACATCATGTCAAGTTCCAACCGGTCTGCAGAAACCTTGTGAATGCCTCTGACACTTCCAAGAGCAAACTTGTCCAGCGTCGTATCAGCTGCCGCAATGGATCTATTCATCCATGACAGTTTCCCTGAAACTTTGAGCGGCTCTGAATTAACGAACGACAAAACGACCTTTTCTCCTGCCGCCAGTGACAGCAGTACAGCAAGGTGGTACACCTCGTCCTCGGTGGGCTCATGTTGCCGAAAATATACCAGGCCGATTCCAATTAGGTTGATGCATACGGAAAGCCTGTCGCCAGGCATTGTGCACGCTGTCTGACACACGGCGTTGAATCGGGCCATGAAGCTAGAAATTAGGGCACCGGCTCGAGGGTGGCGGCTTTCCATAAGGGGAGAAGTTCGATTTGAAAAGCCGGCAAGAATCGGGTTGAGGTACTGGCTGTGTTCGTTTCGATGGCCTAACTGGATGGTGACTGTTGCTAAGATGGAATGCAAAGTCGACCACTCTACCCTCAGAGTTCTTGTCTCGCCAAGACCAATTACAAACACAGTATTGTGGACAGTTTGGTGCCTCTTGTCGCTCCATGGCTCACCGACAACGAATTCGTGAAAGCACCAAGATCGCTGCCACCATCGAGCCGCCGCAACTTTATCATGCAACGAGATAAGCAGAGTGGCTTCCGCAGAGTCCTGCGGCTGGTGATGTAGCTTATAGGCGAAGGCCTCATACTTTTGGCACAGATCAGCTTCATCCTCTGTAAGCTCAACATCTTCAAGAAGAACCACTAGCTTTCTGCATGTCCTGTAGATGACATCCATACACGCGATGGCAAGCTGCTTCTCACTGTTGTTTTCTTGGTCGATGCAGATCTGGTCCATCCACATACCCTCTCGCACATGCCCACGCTCAGATACAATGGCTTCTGCGAAGCGCTTGCCAATTGGCCAAATACTGCCAGGAGCGGGCGCTGAATGGGGTGTGGCGGGCCATCCCGAATTATGCCAGCTGTAGCTGATGGCGAGGTATTGTCTGATGACAAAGCTAGCGTCGAATGGATGCATGCCCTGAGGAGTAGGTTCCGTCGCGGTTCCAATCGGGTTCTCAACTGACTGCTTCGAGCAAATTACTCGAAAGGGCGTTTGAATGATGGTGCTTGAAGTTCGCTGTGAGAATGACTTGGCCACGTTGGGTGCCCAAGCTTGGAGGTTATGTAGGGTAATCTCGGCCTCTTCGTGAGTACAGGCCAGTCGATCCAAAGCATCTGCGAACAAATTTGCCTTGTTTTTCTCCGTTAACGAGATTTTGAAGAGGTCATTTGCGATCTGCTCAACCCCAGTCGCATTGCCATTCGAGGATGGAGATGGTTCGGCCATTTTTCCCGCCTTCGCTTCTTGCAGTTTGTAATCAGCTGAGATTGCCTGATCCCAGGATCCGGTTTTGAGTCCATCTGCAAAGCTTAGCTAATCCAGTCAGCTCTCTTCAATCATGGACGGCGGCATTTTAGCCGATCCACAGCTTGGCATGAGGGGTCAGGCGCCTGCCTGCAAGATATCGGGCTAAAGTGCTCTGATCTGGAGGCCGCACGCAATTTAGTTTTCCGCTGATTCATAGTCTGATGACTGTGTCGCACCTACACATGCAAGATAGATAGGTAGTCCTCAACCTATCTCCGGCGGCCCTGGTCAAGTCATAATCTTTGGAGTTCTTTGCGTCTGCTTATCAGACCCGTTTTAGGCTCCCAAACCTGCCTCTTTCGTGTGTGGAAGGCTACGGCAGTAGTAACTTGACCCATATAATATCAGTTTCGCCATTCAAAAATGACCTTTCCAAACATTCTTTTTCTTCTCCTAGCATACGTACAGCTCAGCTCTAGCGGACCGATCAACTCACCAGACCTAGCTCCTAATTACCATCGCCAAATATCACAATGGTGCAGCGACTTTCCCGAGACGCCAGCTTGGAATCTTTCATTAGTGCCATCGAACGCGATGGGTGTGTCGTCGTTAAAGACTTTGCCAACTTGTCGTCGATTAAAGCAGCGAACGCAGAAGTCCGGTCGTATCTCGATGCCTCCCTCGCTCAATCGGGCAGTACAGTTGGCGCTTTGAATGGAGGGACTGCTACATGCACCAAGCTGATGGGTCGAAGCCAGACAGTGCGAGAAAAGTTCTTCTCCGATGCCCTTTTTCAGGTATACAGAAGACTATTATCTCATCCATCATCTTGACTTTCGTTACTTACGAGATCGTATTCGACAGAGCCTTGCTGATCACTTCATCGGTCTTGAAACTGAAATTTGGTATGGCGATGAGCCAAAGGTCCAGCGATCCGATCCTCTTCTTTCGATATCTATCACCATGTCTTCACAGCCTGGATGCAAAGCGCAAAAGCTTCATCGTGATGATAAAAATCACCATGCCAAACATGTCAAGGCAGGTGAGTATTCCAAAGGTCGAGACATGCTCTTGGGTCTTTTTGTTCCCGGGTGCGACACAACTGAGGCGAATGGTGCAACCCGCATCGTTCCTGGCTCCCACCTTTGGGGCGATGAAAAGCCAGATTTTGGGCCAGATGGAACGAAAGGAGTTGAGAATGCCGAACTCAAAGTTGGAGAGGCATTCATCATGCTGGGCAGTCTTTACCATGGGGCTGGGGAATATTCTTTGTCAAATGGATGTCGCACCGTACACATCATGTTCATGTGCAGTGGCGTTCATCGTCAAGAGGTAAGCCAGCTCTTCAACTCACTAGATATTCATGAAGGGCTTGCCGAGCTAACAAATTGTATCAAGGAAATTCCATTTCTTAGCTACCCGATCGAAGAGGTCAAGACATACTCGAAACTTGTGCAGGATCGTCTGGGCTGGAAACAGTCAGAACCCAATCTTGGTTGGGTTGATTTGAAATCCCCGGAGTTCCTTCTTGAACAGTGATCATCAACTCTTCTTGCACTATTTGATTGAATCGTTGCCTACAAAAATATTGCTCTTCAGAGTGCCAAGCAACTCATGTCACATACCTTATGCATTATGCGCAGCAGCGTAGGGCATTTAGCGCTGAGGCCGACACACAAAATCATCGAGGGTGCTTATAAGACTTCAGACTACTCTTATATTATCAACTTTCTATCTGCTGCGATGCCTCGATCCTGGCTCAATGAGACGAATGTTTCAGAAGGATGCAAATGCTTCCTCAAGAGCATGTCCTACCCGTGATTGCATGCATTACTGCAGGTGCCGCTTTGCTGGAGCATCTTCGGCTAGAGCCTGGTTAATGGTTGGCGTAATTGTGGGAGCTTTGTTTTCAACAGGTTCAACCCCATGTTCTTGTCGGGGGCGGCCTTCGTTTGGAAGCATAATGGCCTTGTCTAAGGCATATGGCAGTCCACGATGTCGACCACGGATCATCATGGCACAAACGACCAGCTTGCTGAAGGTAGTGAACTCGCCAGAGAGTGATGTCATGACCGAAGGGTGCCCAAGGGACAACCCAACGTTGCCACTACGGGTAAAGTGAGCGATACAAAACATTCAGAGAGGGGTGGGTTACTTGCTATGCGCTGACTACTTCGAAAAAGACCGGGAACACTGAGAATGCCTATAAAATCAAGTATCAGCACAGGCTTCCGTGGATATTAATGAATTTGGTACGCACTGGTTCATTGAGATCCATGATTCTCTGGGATTCTGCGATACAGATGCAGAATGTACCAAGAAAGATGTACCAGAGATCAAAGCTCAATTGGTTCCGAACATGGGTCATAACATACGAAGCCCCGTTGTTTTCATCTAGATGGCTGTCGGCCTCGTAGACGCCAAGGGCTCGTTCCTCATAGGTGTTTGATGCCCGAATGCTAATCGCTATTGGGAAGATCGCGATGTACATCATGCACAACAAGCTGAACTGCACGGCGGGGTTGACCAGGGATAGGTTCAGTGTCGAAGTGCCAGTGTGGCGTGATGACGCAGCTTGGAATAAAGCTGATAGGATTCTAGGCCCCATTGCCAAATCATTGACGGCAGGGTTGTCCAAATCCAGAACGATGATCAACAAAACGTCAATGAAGTTGAGCAAGAAGACAATGCCGAACAGGATCCAGGTGGGTCGGCTCGGAAAGAGTAAAGTGTAGCATCTGCGGGGATGGTCGAGCAGAAACTCAAGGTGTTCTTTCGTGGCCGACTTCTTGTACACGACCCTTGACATGACCCAAATGACTAGTCGCAAGAGCACTGGATATATCGTATTTCCCGCAAACGCAAGGAAGGTCATGGCGAGCATTGGCCAGGTGGCGTCTTTAAATGTCGACATCGAGTCCGGGGTCAGGGTGAACCCGAGATTATCAACCATAGTCTGGGCAGAGTAAAAGGCCCACCATACTTGGCCTTGTCCGTTCTCCAAAAGCCATGATTGGTACTTTGGGGGAGCGTGTAGAATCCAAGGCAAGAGACAGATGACTCCAAATACGTGAAGCCCGATAAAGTAACCTACCGCTAAATCAGCCAAATCTGTTTAGATATTGTGGGGGGTTATGCAGGCGTATACTAAAAACAATCTTCAGAAGGAGCTTCAAGCTTCTATATTCGATACCGCCAAGTAGCTCACGATCTCGCTCTGTGAGGTGGAAGAACTGGGAATTGCGGCCCACGGTCACCTGGCGAGACAAGTAGGGGAGATCTGCTGTGCGTGGTGGCCGGGGTCGTGTGGACAAGTCAGAACGGCGCGATTCACGGTCGAGAGACTTTGAGTGGCCAAGCACCAGAACAGACGAAGCTACTTTCTCCATCGAGCGAGCGGCGCGCATTGCAGGACCTTCCATGTTGTGAGGTCGTCGCCGAGACAAGCCGCTTGCGACTGGTTCAACGGGACGGATCGCATCAATGTCTAAAACGGCGGGTCAGCGGCTTCAATATTCGGATGACCTTGACAGAACCTATGGCTTCCATACCATCAATGCTCTCTCTATCTTGGCGAATTTCAATCATGGACTGGCCTGTGCACAAAAGATCTTAGCCCGGTTCCCATGAAAGGTCAAACCGACTGATTACGTACCATCATCGCGGTCTCGAGGTCCTGGGACGTGGAGGACTGCGTTATCGGCAGTGGATTGGCCGCGGTTGGGGAGATTCTCCTCAAAGGTGATGGTGGTTGCTCTGGGACCAAATGCAAGCCCCGTATCCACGGTTTCATTTTGCTTCGATTCCGAAGGGCCAGTTTGAACAGCTTTTTGCTCGGCATGTGTCTCATCCAAGGCGCTTTCGCGACCTCTCGCTTCGGCTTCCTGGTCGGGAGGACCCGCTTCTAGATCTTCGGCACACGGGCTTAGGGTCCGCTCTTTGGCTTTGAGTACGGCGTCAGTATTTCCAGGCTGTGAATGCTGCGTTAAGAGAAGACGCATTCACTTCTTACCAATGTTCTTCAGTCGCTGCTGGAACCAGTAGAGACGCGCCACGACAACCACAATGTTGATGAACATGAGATTAGTGATCATGGGGATCACATAGATGTACACTTGCTGGTAAGTCTTCAAGTCCTTGACGTCGATTCTACCATATCATGATCAGTATGACATATACGAAGGAAAAAGACATAGCAATCAAGTGACTTTGATGACTTACGTGTTGAGACCGGATTCGGTCGAACCACTGGCACCAAAGAAAAAGGCATCTATGGCCGCTAGGTTTCCCGCAGGACACAGCACAGGAAATGAAAGCAGGCTACAAAATAGGATCCATGTGTCTGGAGATAACAAAAATAAGCCATTAGCTGGGACCCATGTACATCATATTCAACAAGAGAAAATGCAGGCGGTGACGATGAGCATACTTATGCCAGCCAGGAGTGTAACTTACAATGGAGGGATATGAAATTCAGCTTCGGCTTCCACATGGTTTGGTGAGGTGGTGGGTAGTAAAATGCACGTGGGCTTAGATAGGACTTCAAGTTGCGCTGATAGGAGCGTGGTCATTGAGGGGTTGTGTGGTGTTGAGGTTGCAGGAAATTGAAGCGCAATGGGGGGCTGATGTTTATTTCAGGGCGTGTGCACTAACCGTGGCACGGCGGCCTCTCTGCCTGCGGTATTTTCAATTGCTCCTGTCCCAGCCAAGAAAGGGACGCGACATGGATACGGATACGTGCATCCATAAGTATGAAATCGACGCGCACGCCAAGACTTTAGTGTCCACATAAACCGAGAACCAACGTCCAATTGTTGGTCTGCTTCACAATCACGTCCAATCAATGTTCCAAATGAACCGACGCGCCAAGGGCTTGGCGAATATTCTTATATCGGAGCTTAGTCGTGTCTTCTTCGGCACTTTACCTGGCCGGGATGAACTCCGATTGGGCTTCACTATCCCTAAGATGGTAGGCGTGGCCATTCGTTGACTTGCATCTTATTTGTGACATGATCAACGCCATTTTGTCAATAGCGTAGCTGAGTTGATGCAAAACCCGCCTAAATAACACAAACATCTTACCAGTCGCCAAAATCTCATCATCGGTGTTATTCACAAGGCTGTTGAGCTGCTAAGGCTTGTTGCCAATGGACCAATCGCATTGGGCCAACCGTCGTTGGTGCCTAGAGATGACGTAGACTGTAGCAAACATCCTGCAACAGGCATACTTTTGCCCTCGTTTTCCTCGAAACTCTGAGGCAAAACTCGTCAGCTACACTAAGCAGTGATTTATAGCTCCAGCCTGAAACCTATTTCAAGAAATCTCATAATCATCCGGCTGCAAAAGGCCATGCGTCAGAACGCCACGCTCATTACAGTAGCTTGCGGCATCTTGTCCTGCGTTGCAATCTCAGCGATGGCTTCAACGATTCCCCAAGATGAGATGTTAGGAATTGATACCACGATTCCAGGCGGTCTGGAAACGACGCGTGAGGAATTCCCACCGCGGCGGTCTCCTCTTCGCACAATGCAACAAGTCCACGACTTTCTTTCCAACAGCACCACTCTCAAGAGCATCAAACTTCGAGTCACTCTGCTTGGTTGTTCTAGCCATCCTGACAGGTACAACTTCCCATTTGACTTCCCTGCCGGCTCTCGTTATTCGTTCAAACTCGAGTCTCTCCAACTTGACGGCTACGACTTTGGCTACCAGGAGTGGAATAGGGTTCAGCCACCTAGCAAGCTATTTCCCTCTTACCCCCACAGCTGGGCTCCGGATGGCATTGGCAACTACTTCTGGTGGTACATGTCCGACTTGGCGACTAGGTATTATAAATGGCGCGACCTTCCCGATGACCAGAAGCATAAGACAAACCTCGATCAGTGGATAGAAGCAATGGACTTCTCCCATATCCGAGAGCTTGCGCTGAGAGACATCAGGGGGCAGTCTGTCGTTGTCATTCGGCTTCCCCCACTCCTCAAGTCCTTGACGTCCTTGACGATTCGGGGAGTTCATCATGTCCGAGAATTCGTTCTTGGGCTACCACGCGATTCGTTGGAGCATCTTTCTTGGATTTCTGGCTGCGGATGTAGGCAGAGCCATTTTGTGCTTGACGTAGTGGGGCACCATGCTCGTTCACTTGCCCGTCTCGAACTAAGAGAGCCCGAGAGCTCCTATCATCAACGGGAGGTTCTCACGGCAGAGGAGCTTGCCTCTCTGGGTGATTTGGCGCCAAATCTACAAGAATTGACCATCGACCTCAACCGAAATGGCACTTGGCCAGTGGAAGAGCTGCAATCAGTGGCCAAGCACTACCCTCGGTTAAAGCGACTCACAATATACTTGGAGCTTGCCAGTGAGCAGCGAAGACAACACGAAAGCTCGGCGTGGCCTAGAAGAAGTACATGGGCGAGCGATGAAGTTGAAGACTTAGATAACATGGCCCGTCCATTGCTAAACAAAACGACTGGGATGGAAATTTTCGAACTTTTGCGAAAACAAAAAGTGGGCGAGGAGCTGGTTCAGCTGAAGCTCTTTGCTGGAGATTGGGAGAGATCGCATGATGGGCCGCTATACACGGCTGCATGGCTTGAGCATCGAAAGGCATGGGTTACATGCCAAGTATTGGAGAGTTCCAACAACTCCGGAAAGCAGATACTTTGCGACGGGAGGGATACAGTTGTGGTCAACGGAAACGACAGTGTATGGGATGAAATGGACCTCGTTCCGAGGGGTGTCATCATTCCAGTACTCGATGAAGACGAAGAGGAACAACTAAGATTGTTGGAGATGGATGTTGCCCATGAAGATTAGGAAACGCAGCTGGCAGATGCGATTTAGGATGTTCATCCCCTCGCTGTCAGTCGTCATCTTATTTCGATTTGGTCTGCGTCTCTTCCATCTTACAGACCCAAAACGCCATACAAACTTCTCCTATCAATTGATAAGACGACGGTCGTCTCTTTGCTGATATGCGGATCATTTATCGGGATGAACAAGCATTGCGCAGGATGTCTTGATCAGTCCGTGTCTGGGAAACATCGGACATTTCAACCGCGGTTCCAAGGAACCCCGCTGAAGATGACATGCCGATGAACCGGTCCGCAATCCCCACCCTGCCAAGCCCGTCCAATTACCAATGCGACTGGCGACACGTGCCGATGATCAGCGTACAATCGTACCAGCTTCTTTGCGCATCTTGGCATCCTATTCGTCCCATGCAGCAATCTCCGTGCCTAGTCGATATGCTGTCCTCCCCCCCGGCGCAGACCCCGATTTGAGAGGTCCATCGCGGTGGCTACAACCATAATCCTTGAGCAAAGTCGTCATCGAACGCGAGATTATCGAGTTGTCGTCTTTCTTGAGTGCAATTGCCCAATCATCTGCCACATGATTACCCACGAGCTTGAGCTTTCTCATCTAGGAGGCGTGTAGACGGCGAGCTTCCATATCCCGATTGACTGGAAGCTCCGGAAACTAGTCTCAGCTCGAGATGCAGGACTCCACGCTGTTGGATTCTTCATAAAGGCGACGGTTTTCCATTGGAACACCCGAGTGGTGGTCGTTTCTGGCAGCAGCAGCTTTCGCTCATTTTTGGTCGGTTGCAGATTGTTCACCTTGTGATCATGCTTCAATCTGCGGTCAGTGCCCTTGCCCTTGCCATCACGGCATCGGCCGCCTTCACTGGGAACTTGAACTATCTTTCGCCGTCCAAACACCATGCATCTCTTGGTATCTCTATCAGGAAGGTGGCAAAGCGCACGTATGCTAATTCTCCATGGGATCCGGCGAAACTCAACTTCACCCATGGAGTTGCATCAGGCGATCCCTACGATGATAGTGTCATTCTCTGGACTCGCGTCGCTCCGAACATGGACAACGACAAAAGTAACGTAACCGTCTCCGGTTACGTCCCTCTCTACGACCACAGCACCGATACCTATGTGCAGAAGAGCGACTCTCCAGTTTGTATCGACTGGAAGATTGCAACGGACGACAAGCTTGCCACGGTCGTGGACTCCGGCACAGCATACACCACTTCCGATGTTGACTTCACCGTCAAGGTTGAGGCCAAGAAACTGGCACCATACACTGTTTATTGCAAGTATATGCCTCATCTGTTCTTGATTGTCGTATTTTAACACTTCCTAGACTACCAGTTCTCCGTTTGCAACTCCAACAATACTTCGCCCGTCGGCCGTACCAAGACGATTCCCTCCAAGGATGCAAAGGTTGATTCTCCTGTGAGAATTGCCGTGTACTCTTGCAGCAACTTCCGTGGGTTTACTCATTCGGCCGCAAGTAATTTCTAGAAACTGATGGTTATGCAGCTTTTGGTTTCTTCAACGCTTATGGAAACCCGGTGAGAAAGGACTCAGTCGACTATGTCGTCCATTTAGGTGACTACATTTACGAGTACGGGAATGGCGAGTACGGGTGGGGCAACTCTCTGGACCGCATTCCGCTGCCTGACCGCCAAATTTATACGTTAGTACACGCTTACGCTGTTTTCATATCTAGACCATGACCTGCTGACTTATCAAAAGCCTGTACGACTATCGAAAGCGCTTGGCAACTTACAGAACGGATCTGGATCTGCTTGCCAGTCATCAACAATTTCCCTGGATTCCAGTCTGGGATGACCATGGTCAGTGTGGCCCAATTCATATCATTGAGCCAGGCTAATGAGACGCAGAGGTTTCTGACAATACGTGGAGAGACGGAGCTTCAGAGCTGAATAACACTGAAGAGTCATTCATCATGGATGGGGGCGTCTCTGTTGACCAGCGCAAGATGAACGCTGTTCGTGCGTATTTTGAGTGGAGTCCGTCACAGTCTGCTCGACCGAGTATGAGCATCAACTGATTTTTCGCAGTGCCAATCCGCCAAGTTGACATGGATGACAACCTCCGTATCTGGAGAGACTTCAGCTTCGGCAACCTTTTCGATTTGATCATGCTCGACACGCGGCAATATGATCGAGCTGTAAGCACATTCCAGTCACCCGTGACGCTCATCCCGCCGCTTCGAATCACCTTTTAACAAATATGCCAAGATCACCGATGTCTATTGGAACACTGACTACGTCAACTCCATCAAGAATGAAGCAAGTCGCTCCCTAATGGGACCTCGCCAGGAAACTTGGTTCTATCGCACTCTTCGCGACAGCTCCACTCGTGGCGCACAATGGCGCGTCATTGGCAACCAGATCATCTTTAGCCGAATGAACGAGAGCTTGTCTTTTGGAGCCGAGAATCCATTCAATACTGATCAATGGGACGGGTACCAGGCCAACCGCAACCGCACCTTCGAAGTTCTCTACGAGCAGAATGTGAGCAACAACATCTTTCTCGCCGGTGACTCACACGCCTCATGGGTTTCAGACCTTGTCTGGCTCGGCGAGCACGAGTATGACCAGAACACTGGTTCCGGATCCGTGGGTGTTGAGTTTGCGGGATCTGCAGTCAGCTCGCCATGCCCTGCAGGCCAAAATATCTCATTGGCAAACGCGAATGTCGGCTCTGCATGGCTCACAAACGCAAACCGCGAGTTGCAGTGGCAGGATCTCTTCTACAGGGGATACTACGAGCTTAGCATTGACTACAATGCCGTCAACGCCTCGTTCTTCGGAATTCCGACCACAAGGATCAAGCAAGGCTACGAGATCTCGCTCGCTAACTTCACAGTCATTGCCGGTGAGAATAAGTTGCACCGACAGAATGGCACTACTGCTGTTGGTGGCATCGCCGAAAGCGGCAGTTTGAAGAACGGCCTGGTTGTGCAAACAAACATTACGCACGACACCGGATCTGGCGATTACCTCAAATACGACTCACCATAAATAAACGGGAGGCCGTGAACAAATAATGTAATGTGTTACTCTCTATCTGACTGAGATATCCTTTTCCTACTCCATCCTTGTGAAATTACACGATTGGTTTTGATGGATTTCCGATCGCCGAACGAATGCCGACGTCCAAAGAAAAGACTCTTATCAGAAAGAGAGGAGGTAACATCGACACATCAGGGTGTCCTTTGATAGCCGATATCTTCGGGTTATTCTTTTCCGCAGTTGTAGATAACAAATTCCGACCCCGGCCCCAGTCACCTTCCTGCAGCAGTATGGCCAACAGCCTTCCCATTGGTCCGGACCAAATGTCCTTGGCGATCGCTGAACTTATCTATGGGGGGTCTTCTGCAGATGCACATGGCCAACGCCAATCTCAAGAATCAAGAACGTCATGGAGCAACTGTTATCAAGGCGGGGTTGGGGTTGCTTTATAATATTTCGTGATCTGTCTAGTTCGAGACGGACATTTAAGCTTGAATCAATACTATGCTTTCACCAGTTTGTTGTATTGCAAGAACTACATAACCTTTCCGGTAAATATTCAGGATGGATACGAAGGAAAAGCTCGATATCGAAAAGTCAGCGAGCTCACGCGAAGCTCAGCCGGAGACAATTGTGGGCGAGGTCAAAGACGTGTCAAACGCCGATGCTGCCTTGGAATTCCTGCGACAATGCGGCGACGTCAACCCCATGACTGATGAAGATGAGCGGAGACTCAAACGCAAGATTGACTGGCGAATCGTGCCGCTCATGTTTGCATGCTACATCCTCCAGTATCTCGACAAAACCTTGATCAATTATGCCAACGTCATGGGGCTCCAGAAGGATACTGGCATTTCTGGCGATCAATATTCGCAACTCGCCATGATCTTCTATGTTAGCTACCTTGCTTTCGAATTCCCTCACGCTTGGGGAATGCAGCACTACCCAACGGCAAAGTACATTGGCATCATGGTCTGCCTATGGGGAACGGTGCTGGCAGTTACATCGGCCTGTCATAACTGGGCCGGACTTGTCGTTACAAGAGTTCTTCTCGGCGTTTTCGAGAGTGCAGTTGCACCTTCATTGATCGTCATCACAACCATGGTAAGCTTATCTTTCCACATATTACGATGGCATTGCTCAAAATTCCAGTGGTACAAACGCCAGGAACAACCTCCTCGCATGGGAATTTGGTACCTTGGCACCGGCGGCGGCGTCATAGTCGGTTCTCTCATCTCGTTCGGCTTTCAACACTACGGTGGATCTAGCTTCACTTCTTGGCAGATCATGTTTCTGATATGCGGTCTTGTCACTGTTGCCGTAGGTATCACTGTCATTGTTGTGCTCCCAGACAATCCGATGAACGCCAAATTTCTATCTTCTGAGGAAAAGGTCTGGGCTATTGAGCGCCTAAGAGCCAACCAGACGGGCGTCGAAAACAAGCAGTTCAAGTGGCCGCAATTCATTGAATGTTTTGCTGATCCTCAGACATACCTGCTTGCAATGATCACGATCACGTCAAACGTGCCCAACGGGGCTGTGTCTTCATTTCAAGCAACGATCATCAAAGGTTTCGGATACACGTCCAAGGAAACCGCACTTTTATCCATTCCGTCTGGTGCCGTGAGCATCGTCTCGATCTTGGCTGCAACCAACGTTGCGGGGCGATACAACCAACGTGCTCTGAACATCATTTGCCTCTTGATACCTGGTGTCATTGGAGCAGCCCTTATGGCGGTTCTGCCGGCCGACAACAAAGCCGGAAAACTGATTGGTAACTATATGACGAATTGCATTGGCGCGACCTTGCCATTGCTGTATTCGCTCGTCGGCGCGAACTATGCTGGTCATACGAAAAAGGTCAGCCCTCTCACACTTTGAAATAGCATGCAGGAACGCTGACTGTGACATAGGTCACAATGAATGCCACTCTTCTAATTTGCTTCTGCGTGGGCAACATTATCGGGCCATTGACTTTTACCGCCGAGTCTGCACCTGAATACATCCCCGCCAAGACTGCTATCATTGTGACTTGCGGGCTGGCAATGGTCTTCACCCTCATGCTACACTTTTACTATGTTTGGGAAAACAAGCGTCGCTACAATCTCGTGCGGACCGGACAACTTGGCCATATCAAGGATGTGGAGTTCAGCGATATGACGGATCGCTTGAACAAGGAGTTTCGGTACACCCTGTGAGCTCAGTGTTGCGGGCAAGTAAACATACCAACGCTCTCCAGACAGCACAAAATCCAGAAAGTATGAAACAGCTATGAGCCAAAATTCGATTGAAAGCGTTCAATCCAGTGCTTTTCCCCCTTGAATTCGATGACTGCGTGTCATGAATGTCGCCGAATTCACCTTTGATGCTCGATAAGAAAATATTTTTCATTCAAAGCATGAAGCAGTCAGCATGTCTTGCATGTCTGGGCTATCTCGCGAAGGGGCGCGCTTTGAAGGAGCTCAAGTTTCCCCGCGGATTCCGTGACCCCCTGCATCTTATAGGGTGAAACATTTTTTTTGCAATTCGCTCAGTCCTTACCCCGGAGTCCCGAGATTCGGTCTTGACGGAATTTGAAGCAGTGTGGACTTGGGGTGGACCGATCCAGCCCTATGGCGCCTATTTTTAGGGTGATCACAATATTGCCTCCCGTGCCGATAACCGTGATGGCTTGAACCTTGCCGGTCCTGGAACTCCGATCGTCGTTTGAGTTGCGTGGCACTAGAAGGCCCATTATTTCGGGCCGAGCGCCTGGGCCTGACCAAGTATTTGATGTCAGGTCCCCCGTGGCCACCGTCCGGAGGTTCACGGGGCTTTTGATTGTTCTTCCTGTCGCCTGACATCCGAGATGTGAGCTGCCACGATACCCACTCTAGCCCCTTTCCCACCTCCACAAGCCAGTGTGTTTACTCTGTCCTTCGTTTCTTCAATTTCAAGTTCTTGTTTCTCTCTCTTACATATTTGCTGCGGGTCTTGTGAGGAGCACTTCCGTTCATTCTGTTCTACGTACCCCCTTGACGATTTGACTCAATGGACACGATGGAACCAGCAACCCCCGATATCGCCTCACTTGGCGACTCAAGTGTTACGACCAGACTGGAAGACCAAGAGCCGATTAGGGCAGATGCATCGAGAGGAACCGAGAAGCAATCCCAGGCCGCAACCGATACGACACTGCCTGTACCGAGTTCCCCTATCTATGCACCGACACAAGCAGATTTGACAAAACACCGCCGACGATGGATTCCTCGAATATCTTCACGATTGCGCAACACTCTACTCAGCACTATGGGTCTTCTCGAGCTCGCCAATGCCGGAGACTTCGCAGCAAACGTCTGGAACGAGATTCCTGTGCCTATATATGCCATCGTCTTCATGGCCCTGGGCGGCACGCTGGCATTGGTAGTATCGATTCTGGCCCTCAAAGACACTCTTTTGAGTTGGCAGAACGTATGCTTCCTCCGTAATGAGAGGTCTGCTTTGAAAGCAGAAAGGCTGGAGCGTCTCCAACGAAGTCTGCCGACGCTGGACGTCGACGTCCTTCTTGACACGAATTTTCGAGAACTTGGAAGCGAAATCGCGAATCGCTTCGGGCTAGACATATGCAGTGGGTTCGGCGCATTTCTCATCAGTATCGGCACATACATGGCGATTGGAGGGGCGAATCGCCAAGCGTGGTTTGCAAGCAACATTTTGTCAGGCTACCTCGGCAATGCCCCAATTGCTCTCTATGGCCTGATTAGTTCTGGATGGTCGGCCTACATCTTCCGCAGAGCTTCTCAGCACCGAGGAATCGCGGCCCAGTCGCCTCGCCTTCAGGGTAGCCGAGCCGTAAAGGCTATCGAACGACGGACGCGCAATGTTCACATCTACACTTTGGTCAGTGCCGTGAGTAGCGTAATTGGTGGTGGTGCATCCATGGTCACGGCGACAAGATGGGAAGGCTACGTCGTACTCATCCCAGTGATTCTATCATCGATGTTTTACAACTCGTGGCTTCGTCGCAATGTGGCCTATGATAGACCACCCGCCGGCGACTCATTGCACCTGACCGAAGATGCAATTACTCACGAGCTCGAGGTTGCAGAGATGACCTGGCGAGAAATTCGAGGCCAGTCTCGGCCACTTCGGGAGGTGGTGGCCGACGCAACGTCTCTAGAGGCTGTCACGACGTACCTCGTCGCCAATGATCTTCTGGAACATTTCTGCCTGTCTCTCATGAAAAGTACTGTTGTCGCTCCCGTTTTGGTCAGCCAAGAATCAACAGATGTCACGATAGACGCAAAGCGTCTGTTGGAAATGCCAAAAGAGATACATCCAACCATGATCGAAATCGCAAACGAAACGATCAAACAAAAGGGCCCAAAGCACTTTGAGTACCGCCAGCGATACCTGGCCGAGATCCTGGGGAGCACGCTACGACTATCACTAAAAGCTGGCTGTGGAGGTTCTATGACGGAATGCTAAGCTGTTTTGACAGTAGCTCTGGCGAAAAAGGTCACAAGGAACATTGTAAGACATAGACTGCCATAATATTATATAATTCTTAATGGTTGAACTAAGTAACGACAGATGGTATTCCATAGTGTACACGCCCCTTTTTTTGTAAGCCATTCCCGGATCATAACTTCGGATTGACGATAGAATCGCAACCTCATCGGCCACACCGCGATGCAGTCTGAAAGCAGAACAACCCCTCGCATACTTGTGCCGCAAACATGTAATCATGAGCAAACATGCTCCTTGCCTAAACACTCTGTCTTCCTCTCTTTATCCCCTTTCCTGGCCTTTCTCCTCTGGTGGGGCGATCACCACAGTTGCAGGTATGTCGGTGCTTTCGGTATCCTTCGCCTTAGGCTTGCGCCTGAAGAGCTTTCCGATCGCTGAGAAGCCCTTTCCCAGAATTCTGTACACGATGACAAAAGGCCTCCCGACGAACTTGGCCGCCTTCTCGAACCAAATGTCGGGGAAGATGCGTACGACAACTCCCCAAGGCATAGACATGAAGGCGACAACAAGACAAATAGCCCACTGGCTTCCATTGAGACCTCCCTCCTTGATCTCGAACACACGGCCACCGACGAAGACGATGCCAACTTGCAGACCAACCATCAAAAAATTGATGAAGATGAAGAACTGGTTGCGATGGACACCTTCTAGGACGTTGAACTTGTTATCCAGCCGACGGTTGTTGAATTCGTTGAAAATCTGCATCCAAACAAAAGTGTTGAAAATGATCGTATCGAGTTGCAGCATCTCGTCTTCACTGTTACGATCGTAGTTGAGAATCTCCGGACCAGCAAAGTACAACGTGATAGTGATAACGAGCTGGAAAATCGCTTGGCCAATAATCATCTTCCACATCTGTAGCCATGTTTGTCAGTGCAAGATCATGTGTCAGTTGAGGGACAACTCACGTTAATGGTGATCAGAGGAGCACTCTTGGGTTGAGGAGGCCGATCAAGAATCTTCTCGGTCGGAGGATCGGTTGCAAGCGCGAGGGCAGCGAAGGTATCCATGATCAGATTGACCCAAAGCAGCTGGACGGCTTTCAGTACAGGCTCCATATGGTCGTCGTACATGGCTGTGATGAAGGCAAGCATAACTGCTGTGATGTTGACAGTGATTTGGAACTGTGCAACAGTGAGGAGTTAGTCAATCTGGTTGATTCAAGTGACCTCGCACAACAACTGAAGCAAGATTGCTTACCTGGAGAAACTTCTGCACAGCGTCGTTAACTGCACGGCCCCATTTGAGAGCTGTCACAATGGAAGTGAAGTTATCATCCATCAGAACAATAGCTGACGCCTCTTTGGCGACCTCGGTTCCGGAAATACCCATAGAAAATCCGACATCAGCAGCCTTCAGAGCTGGGGCGTCATTCGTGCCGTCTCCAGTCACCGCTACCGTCTCTCCCAGGGCCTTCAGTCTGGTGACGAGAATCCGTTTGTCCTCCGGGGATGAACGAGCCAAGACCTGAAGCTTTGGGAGAATAGCGTTCATGTCAGCCTCAGACAGCTTGCGGAAAACAGGTCCTTCCATGATCACGCCGTCGCCGCCCGTGTAAATGCCGCACTCCGTTGCGATAGCCTGTGCCGTAATGACGTTGTCGCCCGTGACCATACGAACAGTGACACCGGCATGCTGGGCCTTACGGACTGCATCAGGCACGCCCGGTCGAACGGGGTCTTGAATACCAACAATTCCGAGAAAGGTGAGGTCGGAAAGAGACAGCAGAGAGTCCATCTTGACATGGCCGTCCTCCGAAGGCATTCCGGCAGGTGGCCATTGTGGGTAATCCTTGTAGACAAGGCCAATGGTTCTCAATGATCGGCTGGCATACTGGTTGATGGTGTTCTGCAGGGCTTGTCGCTGAGTCGAATCCAGGGGCTCCTCGTCCAAGGTTTCCAAGTTAGCCTGGGACGAGCAGTACCCAAGCAGGATTTCCGAAGCTCCCTTGACCAGAAGACGGTAGCCTTTGTTGGAGTCGCGAAGCTTGATCACGGCGGCCATGCATTTCCTCCGCGAGTCAAAAGGCAACATCTGTACAATATGTTCGTTGGCGCGAGCCTCTGCCAGCGATTGCAGGCCCAGATGGTCCTTGGCCAGAGACAACAGAGCTGTTTCAGTCTTGGATCCGATGAAAGTCGCCTGGCCATCTTCTTGGCCTTCGAAAGCAGTCGAGTTGACGGCAACTGACTGCACAATCAGCTCTTTGGTTGCCGTGGGTACGGATGAGGCCCATGTAGAAACAGGGACGGTGCCATCGGTGGACTTTTCGCTGTCGGATTGCGCCAGAGCTGTGAAGCTTGTTGTCGAGAACGTTCCGGCTACCACTGTCATCTTGTTCGTTGTCTGTGACCAAGTCAGTAAGTGTGCGCCTTGCAGATTTTGATCTTGTTGCGGATCTCACCAGCGTTCCCGTCTTGTCTGAGCAAATGGTTGTTGCGTTGCCCATGGTCTCACAGGCGCGGAGCACTCGGACGAGGTTGTTCTCCTTCAGGAGCTTAGTGGTCGCAAAAGCCAGGGCGAGGGTGACGGCCAGCGGCAATCCTTCGGGCACCGCGACTGCGATGATGGCAATTGCGACAACAAGCAGATCCATGAAAGTAGACGCCTTGTCTGCTGGCGATCGGTGATCCTCTGGCAAAGTCGCAAGGAATCGGAAAAGAAGAATGAAGAACATCAAGGCGGATGCGCCTCCACCCAACTTAGCGATGGCAACCGCAAGACCTTCCAGCTTCTTCTGCAAGGGAGTGGCTTCGACATCATAGCGAACAGACATCATGATCTTGCCGAAGCTGCTGTGCACTCCGACAGAAGTGCAAACGTACGTGCCCATACCTGGAGCTAATCAGCACATTTCCACATCTACTGCTCCAAAGGAACCTACCCTCAAGCACCTTCGAGCCAGAAATGATGAATGGGTCGAGATCGTCGAGGTTGTTGTGCTTCGTGTCGAGAAGCTTCATGACCTGGTCACCGGCGGTCTTCTTGAGGACGTCGGATTCGCCAGTAGCCGAAGATTCATCGCACTTCAAGTCCTGGCCTTCGATCAGAATACCATCGGCAGGCACCATGTCTCCCGGCTCAAGATGAAGAACTTCTCCGACGAGAATCTCATTCACATTGATCATGAGAGATCGGCCTGAACGAATGACCTTGACCTGACGATCATCCTTCTTGGTGTTCAATCGCACGAATGCCTGTTCTTTCTGCCAATTGTTGTGGGAACCGACGACGACGACGATGATGACTGCGGCGCAAATGGCCACGCCCTCTACCCTGAGTGACTGTCAGCCTGGAGTGATGTAATCGAGTGGAAAGCGCATACCAGTCGACCGATGCTGGCGAGCCTGCCGGCCTTTCGACACCTAAAGTCTCGTACAAACCCAGTGCCAAAGAGATGATACCAGCGACGGTCAAGAGAATGATGACCTTTTCGCTGAGTTCAATGTACATGAGCCTCCAGATAGACTTGCCCTTCTTCGGTGGGAGGACATTGCGACCGTAAACGCGCGTGCGATCGGCGAATGGTGTTGAAGATGTAGTCGCGTGCCTCTCTGTTGGCGTCGCAGGTTTGGAATCAAAGTCGACGGCGTCGCTGAACGAGACTGTGGACTTGACGCCGGTCTCGTCGACACTGAGTCCGCTGCGTACATCGGTCTGGATGCCCCGCGCGATTCCCTGGAGACCGCCAAGAGCTCGGAATGCCGATAGAGACTTGGGATTGAAGAGCTTGTTCAGCTGGCCGGGGGAAAACGCGAAGGGGTTGTTGTCGACGCGAAAGTCGTGCTCTGTTCCAGGGTCTGGGTGAAGAGCCGAGTCTGGATCCTCAAGAACGAAGCTTGGGGCGGCACTGGGGGCAGCAGTTGTGCCGGACGGGGTCAAGAAAGGATTGGTCCCGTCGGGGGTGATGGTGTCGGCATCGCTGACGGCCCGCGGACGGGAGTCCGGATGTGTGGGGTTTGGATTGGGGCTGAGAAAGTTGTCAGCCATCATGAGCTACTGGAGTCATGTATGGGCTGGTGGAAATGAGAAAGTGTTGTCGAGCTGGAGCAAGGCGTGCCGAAGAAGCGGCGGCCAAGCAATATGAATATTTCTGCGCCTCTGCAGAGAGGGCAGCTTTCTCCGGGCTCCCTCCTGCAGCTTCTCCCAGACTGGCCATACAACACCATCTTGTCAACCGGAAGAGACATAGCTCTCCACTTCTCCAGTAGAGCGGCAAACGCAAAAGGTTAAAGGTCCCGGCTGGCTCAGCACTGCCACAATTCAACGGACATTATATTGACGAAATGATAGCCTCTGATGCGATCTGATAAGCTCGGGTATCCAGGGATGGGGCCCGAGGAGCTCTCGACAAGCTTAAACAAGCAGGCATTCTGCGGTGTGTGTGGAGTGAAGGCCCGCCGGTGGCAGTCTAGGTCAGCCTCAGAGACCAACGGACAGCACATGATGCAGTCTTGGCAGTTTAAGAGAGGATTCCAAGGAGCTCAGAATGATGATCATAAGCAGCGGGATGTGGAAGATGCCAAGAGCTTCAAGGGAGGGGAAGGTGGACGCGAGGGAGAAAAGCAAGATGAGCCGGAGATTGGAAAAATTTGTGAGCACAGTTTGGCGCAGACGAGGGATTTTCTGGCAAAGATTAAGCGAGATGATGGCAAGATCAGACGAGCATGCGGATAGGGGGAAGGTTTAGCCGTTCTGACAGCGCTGACAAACTCGGTTCAGACGAGCGAGGTTTTTTGCTTCTGGCCTGGCGCCGGCGACAGGCCAAGAGTCAGGCGAAAGAGGGGTCTGGAATTCTATTTGACAGACGCAGTGAGAAAGTCACTCTTCTGTGGTGTTGGCGGCGCATCAGGAGCTTCAAATGGAAGGTCAGACGGCGCACGTGTGCGGTTGATACGACCTCGCTTAATCTTTCCCTGTCGCCCTTGATTCGCGAAATCCTACTCGCAATCACCTCAAGCGGGGTATCTCCACCCGGCTCACCGTGTTTCCCGCCTCCCATCGCCGCCATCGGCCTTGATGAACTCCTGTTGGACTCCTCCCGCGCGGTATGGCACGGTACGGTACGGTACCGACGCAGCGCTTTGACTGGGGCTTGTAGCAGAACGCGAAACCTCGTAGCATTTGTTTCTTGGCCACAGAATGTCGTTTCCTCTTGCCGTCCTTTCTTCGTTTTCAGTTTCCATATAATGACGCTATGTTTCGCTCGCGCAAGAATGACGGCGTGGTTCTGCGCAGGAAGCGACCATCTCTTACATACACAGCCGAGCCAAGAAGTCCAACAGTCTGACTGTCGAACCGAAATGTCGTTTCCGCCGCCAGCACGAGACCGGTTATGTCGAGCCGCGAGCCCCTCTCTTGCTGATCATGCTTTCTCCCACAAAGCCAAGCCTATGTTGGCCCCCTCGACGCGTCAAATCCGGCCACATAGCAAACTTGACACCGTTTCTTTGCGCACAGCGAAATGCGACTCTTGACTTGCGCAGCCGGTGTTGCTTTGCGTCCGGATGTTTTGCTTTCCGGGGCTTATGACCCCCTGTAAATATGTCGGCAATTAGTGCTGTCACCTAGGCCTTTGACGAAGCTAACGGCGCAAGCTCCTTCAGCCGACGCCGAGCCGACGGAGTGCTGTCACGGATTGTTACTTGGCGGCATCATCGTCAACCCCAACCGCCGGACTCTGTCAGATTTTCTGGATGGCAAATTCTATTCCCACGTTTCGCGACAGAACCAAACCAACACTTGGGATCAACGCTCGGTCGCTACCAATTAGGTCCCTGTTGTTGATCACCTGGAGTCCTTGTCTCGCTTGATCTTCCGGTACTCTTATTTTGGTAAGGAGGCCTCATCCTGTTTGTGTCAGAGGGCAGAGCTCCATACACATCCACTCAACTGGGGCTCGATGGGTCACTCATTCTTCTAGAGTTCAAAGCTAATCACCACTTTTCCAACGCAACAATGATGCCTCCGCGCGGCCGCGCCTGATCTTGACGAGCGGTTTGTTGATTGATTTTCTTTATCCCCTGAGATATCGCGATAGTAGGCGTACTCAAGCGTTTTCGTAGCACGGACCTTAAGAGCTTCATTGGTTCGTTGCGGCTGGTGTTCAGCCCGAGGATGAGAGTGGACGACGTTGAAAAGTAAACCAAGCATCATCACACTCGGCGTGTACTTATATCGCAGTTTTTGACTGGCTCACACAGGGGACAGAAACGCGTTCATGACGACCTCGGAGGTCATGGTCACAACAGCAACTTACGGCAGTTTCCTCGAAAACATGCTGACTAGAAGCCTTCGGAAGATACTTTGACTCCGAGCCAGGCATTTGCGTAATGTTGGACCTCATTCAGCACCCTTCTATTTCAAGTTAATATATATTGCATGGAACATGTACCCATCATGCAACGCAATTTGCTGCCCCGAAGACCTGCTGACGACCCAAGAAGCAGAAGAAACTTTCGTGGGAGCACATAAGGTATTATTCAGCCTGGCGTTGAGGTTGGGGAATAATCCTCCTGAGATGGTTTACTGACGTGGAATTACCGACGCAACAACTTTTACGCACTGCACTGTGGTCAAAGGTGTGCGATCTCTTCCTAAAGTCAAGCTCGTTCATTTGTGCATGGATTCGTTCGCAATTTTAACATGTCTGACTGTTTGGCCAACAACATTTCTAAAACAAGACAACTTCGACTCCTCTTCCGCGTGCTGCTTCGTTTATGTCGAAGACCTCTGTCCCTGAAGCCTGTGCCTCGTCGAGCAGCTCAAATATGACCTTCAGAAAGTTGAACGGGTCTCTTTTGGACAAATGTTCACGGAAACTTTCCAGTGTGGTTTTCCATTCAGGATGGGCGCCCAGCTCTCGGAACTCTAAGCTGGCCGCTGTAACAGGAAACACCATCCCGTTCTGTATTAGCGAGTACTTTTCGCGGTCAAGGTCAAAACGGATATGCTTGTGGATAGCGTCCATCGCAGAAATCAGCCGGCACATGATCACGCCTGTATTTGGCGCGAACTGGGTTTCCTCCTGAGCTTGTCCGTCTTGGAGCCTCTTTCTTCTGCGAATTTCGAGAATGCCCGCGAACCGCCAACAGTCCCACAAGTGACACTGTATGAACTCCCCGATTTCACCTGGCCATATCCATAGTCTGGACTCGACACTTGCTTGAGGGCCATCCGGTATGTCGGCCAGTACGTCAATAAGAGATCGGGGCATTCCTATACCAACCTCGACTCCACCAATCCTACCCCCGGGCCAACTATCTTGGGTCTTTCTGAAGCGCTTCCAAAGCCCGATTGAGGGGCTTACTCGGCCGACAACATACAACGGCAAGTCCATCACGCACATAGACTCCAACATATGAAGCGTTGGAAGGTCGCGCCCGGGGCCTGGCTCTAACAAGTGCATTTTGGCGTCCAGGTTGTATAAGTTTGCCATAAGTTGGACATACATCGTAAAAGGACGGGCTAACAAGAGCTACGCTCATCAGCATCGTAGTTTTCAAGTCAGTTTACCTGTTTCAAATACTTTCACTTACACACAAAGAGCAGACCATCAAACCGGCAAAGGCAGTTGATGCCCTAATGTCGTTATGTTGGCTAGCAAGCTCAGCGCGGAATGTTCGGAGCGCAAGGTCAAGACGTTCCATGGAAGATACAGACAGGTCATCGCACCCATCATCGACATAGCTCTGGATAGCGATGCCGATTATTCTGAGGGCCTTGCTTTGTGATGCCATATCCTCGAAGATAGGCCTGATCCAAGACTGAGTCTCCGCGTTATACAGCTTGCCAAGGCCAGATTTCAAAACTGAGCGATCGTTAGGCTGCGACACCGACATTTTGAAAGGTTTTTAAAAACTCGACAACGTACAAGTTTCGAACAAGTTGTCCAGCCCGTCAAGGCCATCCTCATCTGGACGTGGCGGAAGCGGATGGTCGTCGTCCAACCTACGACTCTGCGGTTGGTCGTTGAGAATGCGGTAGGATGACGAAGGAGGGGTGCTGACATTGCTAGTATCCAATCCCCGATCCGTAGGCCGCGAGGTCTCTGGTCCATCCACGGAATGAATGCTGGTGGTGTCGTTCACCCACCGAAGGGGTTTCGTGTACCCTTCACACTCAAGACCACGTCGCATGCAGGGGCCGCACTCGGGGCGGGCTTCATCGCACTTCCGTTTTCGCCTCTTGCAAGTTGCGCAGCCGTTTCTCGAGCGCGTTATTGGCCGCATTTTCCGCCTCGGGCACTTCGCTTCTCATAGTCGGCATTTGTGTGTTGAGATCAGGGGCTGGGCGCGCAGATGTTCTCAACCGAGAGACTGAGTTGAATGGCGGCGCACTTGATGGACGAAATGGGAATGACGTGGGGACGGGAAGAATGCAGCGCACCGACGACCCTTAAAGGGTTTAGCGCTGAAGCAGCTTTTCTGCTGCACGAGCACCAAGACGATCTGTGAGCATGTTTTTGATTCAAACACAGCGGGTTGCTCCTGAGCCCCAGTCCTAGGTTGAAGAAGGCGACGACTCTCTGGACCGCATTTATCAGGAAATTTAATTCTTTATAGGAAGCTTTGTTTTTAGAATCCTTTCCCGACTAACCGCAAATGGATAATCATTGCGCCAAACATGGACGTCTGATGACAAACTGCGGCGCAATTGTCATGATCTTTCCCTTCCTGAACATGTTTCATACAGCACGACCAGTCATTGTCCGCAAAATGGCGATCCACTTGTTGCTGGTCCCGTCTCGCGTGATGAGGGATGTTTTTAACTCGAATCAGCGTACCAGACTGGGGTTTTCCTGAAAATATGTCTAGTTATATGAAGGTCGAATCCCCGGACTTATCCTGTTGTCGAAGACGCACCTGCTGCCATCAAGCCATACTCCCTACTTCACAAAGCAACCAGGACGTTTTCCAGACACCTCAACCAAAAATAGTCTTCCGACACTCTCTGGTCCAATTTTCACGGACGGCATCGGCAGTACAACATGACATCGCAAGAAAGTCGAACAACAGAAACAAGGGACGCCGAGGACTCCCCTTCCCCTACGGACATAGATGTCGAAGTTCTGGGCCGGCAGCGCCCGGCAGTGTTTGAGTCCTGGCTATCAGAGGTTGGCTTTTGCTCCTCACTACTTGGACTCATGCTAATGGGGGTAAGTTTATCTGATCAACGTGCCCAACTACGGTTGCTATTTGGCTGACCCCAATCTTGCAGGAATATCTCGTCGGTGGCTTTCACATCATCCTCCCCCAGCTTGCATCCGATCTCAATATCCCCAGCGAATCCCAGACGTGGCCATCGAGTGTGTTTTCCCTTGTCGCTGGCGCCTGCCTTCTCCCGTTCGGCCGAGTAAGCGAAAAGTTCGGAGGTTACATTACTTTCAACATTGGTCTTGGGTGGTTCTTCCTTTGGACCCTGCTGTCCGGTTTCAGCCATAACTACGTCATGCTCATAGCCTGTCGCGCTATGGCAGGCTTGGGGATTTCTGCGGTCCTCCCAGCCGGCATGATGATGCTCGGCAAGACCTATCGACCCGGACCTCGGAAGAATCTCGTGTTCGCGCTTTACGGTTCCTTCGCTCCTATCGGCTTCTTTTTTGGCATATTTATCGGTGGTCTGACCGGGCAATACTTGTCATGGAGATGGTACTTCTGGGTTGGCTCCATGATATTGGGTGTGCTGATTGCTATTTCTTTCTTTTCCATTCCGAAAGATTATGGCAAAAAGCATGAGTTGCAGATGGATTGGCTAGGCACTGTTACAATCGTACCAGGTCTTGCACTTCTTATCTACGCTCTTACAGACAGTTCTCAGGCTCCAGAGGGTTGGAAAAGCCCTCAGATTCTGGTCACCCTTATCGTTGGCGTTCTCTTGCTGGCAATCGGCTTTTACATCGAGAAATGCGTCGCATCCAGTCCGCTTCTTCCGCATGATCTTTTCTCGACAAAGTACATCAAGACTCTGATGTTGGCCTTATGGTTGACATACGGTGTCTTTGGGCTTTTTCTCTTCTACAGCAGTTTCTACATTGAGTTGGTTCTCCACGCGTCGCCACTGCTTACGGCTGCCTGGTATGTTCCCCTGGCTGCTGGAGGGGTAACAATCGGGCTCGTGGGAGGTTTCACTCTCCACCTACTCCCCGGAAGGCTTCTTCTGATCCTTTCGGGTTGCGGAAGTGTTGTGTGTGTTCTACTTTTCGCAATTATGCCTGAAGATCCAAGCTACTGGGCGTACGTCTTCCCGTCAATGGTCTGTGCAACAATTGGCATCGACATTGCTTTCACTGTCAGCAATGTACATATAACAACGTCTCTACCTCAGCACCATCAAGGGCTTGCTGGTGCCCTCATCAACAGTCTACTGTTTCTTGGAATCAGCTTCTGGTTGGGCATGGCGGACATAGCTGTCCATCAAACAAGCGACTCCGGACTCAGGTCCAGTTATAAATCGGCGTTTTGGGTTGGAGTAGGAGCAGCAAGTGCCGCAGCCTGTCTTTTTTCCACTGTCAGAATTGGGTCAGCTAGTAGTGACTTGACGGTGGAAGAGAAACGGCAGCGGGAAACAGCGGGCCAAACAGCTTTGGAGGATCATCGCCGTTAAGATATGGATGTAACAAAACTTCTCATACGGTGTATGAGAAGCCGATCGAATTGGTCTCAACCGTAGATAGCGTCTATTGTATTTTAGTTGAGGGATATCCCAAAACGCTCATCCTAGCATCATTCGTCAGATTCCACAGTACTCCTATTGTCAAGCACTGCATTTCTTCCCCCTTTTTCATTCATAATTTCCCCCTCAATCAACCCACGAATGATCGAGCTTTTGGCCTGTCATGTGAGCCGCTCCTTGGGCGCCTGCCTTCTGAATCACTTGACATTCTCGCCGTCTCTTGTCTAACTTGAATTTCCGTCTGTTTTTGGATTCCATGTTCCCCCAATATGATGGCTTCTTCGCTATCGTTCTTCGATGAATCTCTTGAATTCGCCGTTACTCCCCCTCCTCGACCCCCCGAAGAGATTACTGTATGGTTTCCAGGACGTCTGTCAGATAGGTTGGTCAAAGGATGAGATGTCCTAGTTTTGGTGCTGCCATTGTTTCCGCAGCTGTCAAGAGGGTACCCTGTTCTGGATGAAGAAGAGCCCAACAGAGCCGGAAAGTACCTCTTGAAAAACACTTTCAGAGCCGAGGAGCAGCCGCAGAAGATGGCTACATAAAGCTCCAGTGCGTACCAGACGAGGGAGTAGGCCAATTGTTGATAGAGCTCCGGCTCGTTTGCTAGTTGTCGCACATAGTAGAACCGAACGCATCCCGCTGTGAGATTATGGTGAGCGGAAGGAAGTCGATGCTTTTTCACTCAACACTCACCAACAACTGATATGATACCCAGGGCAAACACGGCCGAGACTGCCCACTTTTGTCGCTGGTTCCATGTGAATGCGCGTATCTCAGCAATGAGGGAAGGCGACTTACCTTGGGAAGCTGGAGATTCCAAATCATAGGGATCGGGCAGATCCAAAGACATATATCTGTGATGATGACGATAATACCGGCAGCATCCCAAAATGCTTGCTGTTTAGATTGCGTCATGCATTGTTGCATATAAATAATGCGGTCTCCTTTCGATGTCCAAAAGACCTCCGGTGGACTACACTCGATAACAGACATGACAAAGTGCCCTACACCCATGCCGATGACAACCACTGTGAGGCTGTGGACCGCCCATCTCATGAGTAGTCGATCATCAAGGCGCAGGTAGAACAGAAGCAGGGCGACCTTGACGAGCACCATGGCGATTGCATACAGTAAGCGAGAGACCCAAAACGACTACACCGCGTTGCTGTCAGTACTTTTTGAACGTTGCGAGCTCGATGCAGAAATATGTTGAAAATCACGTCACTCACTAGAAGCATGGGCTCCCAAGTCTCTGCTGGAATGTCTGCTCCTGGTTCTTGTTAGTAATGGCGAGGAGTTGGGGTTGGAGAAATAGAACTCACTGGCCTTTCCAATACCGCGAACGACCGAAATCATTACAGTGATAGATAACGCGATTGTCATTAACTGAACAAATCAGTGTTGCAAATTCGAATTACCCTGAGGGAAGAACGGGGTCCTCTTATGGTGTCTTACTGTTCCGAATGCCATCATGACTGGCAAATATGAATTAGTGTCATCGTCTCTATGAAGTAGTCTCTTTCAATAATGTACTTACTGTCGTCGAGGCCGATAGCCTTCGTGATGACAAGCCTTGCCCACATTCGCATTCCCATAATGATGATTATGAAGAAAATAAAACCGGCGTTGATTCCAAGAGCTCTGGATTGAGCTTGGCTGAGTTCCATCGCTAAAGGTTCGCCAGTAGCTTGGCGTGCAGACACAAGTAAATCGGTCATCACCATGCCCTTTGGAAACGAAGAGACCCGCGAGTCGAGCAGTTCGGACAAGCGTTCCACGCCAGGAGTTTAATAAGGAAGGCGGGATGGGAATTTCTAAGGGCAGCATTTTTTGAAGCCAAGGAAGCCGCAGTTTTCAAGACATCTACCGCTCGGACATTTTCAAGGGTACTCTGTCGCATTACTACATGTCAGGGAGCTGAACCGGGAAACGGCTTCTATGGTTGCAAATCGCCTGCCCTGCTGACGTCTAGGCAACCTTCGCCTGTTTGGAGGAACAGAGCAGCGAGTCATACAAAACGTTCCGCGTAGCTGTAGCTGCTAATAAAGCTGTCCATTGTTGAATTTGGACACCCACGGTAAGCCTCTTAACGCTTGACAATGCTTACCAACTTTTGTGGACTCGTAATTCCTCCGACTATCTCCACAACAGTGTGGTTCTTGACCCTCATAGACGATCAAAGCCCATGCATTTGATCCTTGCATATTGGTCTAGGGCCCTCTGAAGGCGGTTGATTCGCTCCATTCAAAGTGGCCTTCCTTTCTAAGGAACAGTTGGTTCGTGATCCCCGGCCCTATGGTGCTCACGCCAGTATTTGTGGGAAGATGGTCGTTTTCAGGGGGTTGAAGACGGAGCGGGTGGAGATGATCCAAGAACCAAAGATGCACGAGCGTGATGCTTAGACGTTTCCGTGGCGTATGAGCTCTATTTCACTTCTTTGAGGTCTCCTCTGTTGATCTATCCTGGGCCGATGAACACATCTAGACGCTTTTATAGGTATCAATATCCACAAGAATATGAGTGCCATTCTTGTCGAATTTAACTGCGCCTTCACAATCGAGGCTTTAGTCGCCGCGGGGGATAGATCGAGCTTGACAGTTCGAGAAGTACAGCGTCTAAGGACATGTCCAGGGGCATTCCTGAGTAAGTAGCCGCGCGTGGGCTGCTAGTCCTGGTAGGTATCCTTGTGGGCATAGCCCTCCCCTGCTTCGGCTAAAGCCACGGCCACCAGAAATCTTAAGTTGCGGAATATTGCTTTGCTTGGAATGCCTCTAGCTATCCAAAATCCAGATTTGATCTATCAACGTCACATCTGCATGACGGGAGCGCCATGGAGCATTAAGAGAGCTGCCATTGAACACAACAACAGCTCTGTGGGCTTCTGTCTCTGGGCACTCACGATGAGAGGAAAGATCTGATGCGACTGGCCGAAACAAGTCCAAACTGACTGGCTTGATGGCAAGTGCGGCGGTGCCTGAGTGAGCAGCCCAAGGAGATTCAACATCCATGAGCTGTGGACCCTTGAGCCATGTCGTGCATATGGAATCCACAATGAGGAGGCAGGGAGATTGACAGTTCGTCTAATGATTTCATCTGGTTGGCGCACATCGACAAGCGGGGAACCCCGTTGACCCTCCTGTCTCTCGGGTCGTTTTTACAGTCCGAGAAGTAGCAAAAGGCCCCTTTCTCGTATTTTGGCCTGGAGAAAGCTGAACGAATCCTTATCGAGAACAAATTTGAGAAGGTTCACAGCGTTGTGATCGATTAGCATTCGGCTAGAACAGAGTTTCGGGAAGACGTGGACTTCCCGTCAAGGTTCAAGGACATGGACAGTTGGTGATGGTTGGATCGGTGGGTGATGTACCCGTGCTCGTCTGGAGCCACTCAAAGTCACCTCACCAGAAGCATCTTCTAGTTTCCATGCTAGAGTCGGGAAATTTACCGGCCAGCTCTCCGGGCACATGGGACGAACAGAAGTGAGACAGAGCGAGAAGAGAAGACTGATGCTCATGTGATGACTAGTTGACACATGGACACCATAGCAAGTCGCGAACTATCTCCTACGACATAACAACCCTCTTTCATTCAATTCTTTTCATTTAGCCTGTGCTTTCTGGCGCTATAACTTCGTAAATGCTGCAGGAGAGCATGCTTCGGCCAGCAGGATCCGGAATCGGAGCCGTAAAAGCGGGTCTCTCGGAGATGTGGATCCTACAGCACCGGGCAGCCACTGGTGGATGGTATTATACAATCACTTCATTTGTCCGGACTTTTACCGTCCGCTTGCTGCCAGCCGGCTCCATCCGGCAGGCGACAGATTTGTCTCGGAGGGGCCTTCTCCTTTCTCGTTTGGTGCTGCTCTTTCCTTCACGCGGCCTCTCACTCACGCGACGTCGTTTCTCAACTTCAACGTCGGCAACCAGATATTGTGTTTCCCCCGATTTGATCCCGCATCAAAAAAATGACAGCTCCTCACGATGTCCACATTCAATGGTCTTGTCGCAGAGTTTCCTGACATTCGGAGTAAGTCCTTGCTGACGAAAAAGTAGCATCACTGTGACCCTGGGGCCCGCGTGATAGCTTCGCGTTCACCCGCTGCCTCTCACCCCGACGCGCCTTTTCCCTCAAAATTTCGTTGCTGATTGCGTTGCAGTTGACTTCTTCCGGAAACATGCCGGCCATCATCCGCCACTGGCGTGCTTCCTAAGCCATATCCATAGCGACCACCTCGCAGGGTTGGAAAGCCTCCGCTCTCCGTTTGTCTACTGCTCCGCAGCCACGCGGGAGATGCTCCTCCGTCTTGAACGTTATCCCTGTCGCATCAACTACGCCAAGGGTATTCTGGAGGCTCGCGTGCAGACGTACAAGCATCTCAAGAATCTCCTCAAACCGCTGCCCCTGGATACGCCAACCACCCTCGAGCTTGCTCCCGGAAGATGCATTCAGGTCACTTTGCTCGATGCAAACCACTGCCCCGGTTCTGTAATGTTCCTGATCGAGGACAACCATCACGCTGTTCTCTATACGGGTGACATCCGAAGCGAACCGTGGTTCGTCAATGCCGTCGCCAGAAACCCAGCAGTCGTTGGGTACACCTGTGGCATCAAGACGCTAGACAAGATCTACCTCGACACTTCTTTCATCCAGAACGTGCCGTTTCAAACAAAGGCCAATGGCATTGCGGAGCTGCTGCGCAAGGTGGCCTTGTATCCCGACGACACCATCTTCCACATCCAAGCATGGACGTACGGGTACGAGCAAGTCTGGATTGCCCTGTCCAAGGCCCTGAGATCCAGGATCCATGTGGATGACTACAAGATGCGCGTCTTCTCTTCGTTGACTGGCAAAGCCTCGAACGATCGCTTCAGCTCGTCCATACATCTGTGCCCTGAGGCGCCGGCGTTGGCTGGTTACATATGCGGCAATACACCCCATCCAGGTTGTCTCACACGGGACGAGCACGTTCGACTTCACAGTTGTGAGAGAGGCAACTTTTGCTCTGTTGTTCGAGGATCAAAAGTCGTTTCCATCCAACCCCTTGTCGCGCATCTTTCCAACGGAGCCGAGATTGCCGAGGTCGGTGTCGGCGGGGGCGGAGACGACCTGGAGCGGGACGCGGAGCTGGACACGCTGTCGTCCGCCGACGTCGAAGCCGTGCTGGCCCTGCTCAAGGAAAAGGGCGATCTTCCTCAGGAATCAGGGTCGCTGCTCCGGGAGCTCCTCGAAACTGGGGTAAACACCGGGCGGAACATGTCTCTCGACATCGATATCTCATCTTTTGGAGAGAAGAACGAAGCAGCAATCCTCGATGCCTTCCGGTCGGTGGGGCAAAAGAGACAACCACCCAGCTCTAGTTTCCTCAGCACGGGAACCGATTCCGAGCCACCCTTGCCGAAAACTATCACTTTTCCTTACTCCCGGCACTCATCCTACCAGGAGCTCTGCGACCTCATTCGAATGTTCCAACCGAAAGATGTCTGGCCTTGCACCGTCAATCCCACAGACTGGGTCAGGGATAACATCACCATCCATTCTCTATTCGGCAACTTTTGCTCTGGTGATAGCTTCGCACATGACCTCGAAATGGAAAGGTTCGCCAGGCGGAATGCGGGGCCGCTCGAGCAACGGGTGTCTCAAAACATTGACACCAGTCAACCCTCTGAGGGTGACATTGACATGCCAACGTTGCATTTCTCGCAAACAGATCAAGCAGCCAAACCCGAGACAGCCGTTCAAGAACTCGAAAGGACCGTGAATAATGCGACCGCCGGGTCCGTGACGTCGCAACCGCCCATCCGGTCGGGACGGGGCTGTTCAGACGGAGGGGGCCGGAAAAGCCAAGAGTTTTCCGTCGCCGGCACTTCGAAGAGCAAACTATCGTCGTCTCGTGGAGTTTCAAGCGTACGAGCGGATGCATATTCGAACATGGCGAGGAATCTTGTTGGGGGAGAGTGGACCCCGATCGGTTTGCTGTCCACCTTTGACCATCATACAACGCTTGATAAGGAGCTAGGAGGAAGATAGAAATTTGCCGGCGTCTCACTTTGTAGATACCCCGCACCATATCGCATCAAAATAAGGGACATAATGCTTAGAGACTATGATTATCATTGACGGTTGGTTCAGCTCAGTTGATGAGCTCTGAGGACTACGGATCCGGGCTCGCAGCGCTGCTGCATCCCAGCCGTACACCCAGTGGTACACACACCTCCGCCCAAACAAAGGAGATGTTTTTCGCTCGTCGACGCACTTCTACTGTGGACGCAGCGCGCCGGCCTCCGATACACCCCATCTTCCATGGATATACTGCCGCAAGCTCTTTGCCCAGAACGCCAGCGGCACAGCGATGCCACCCACCACAAGTAAGATGGCGCCCAACTCGAAACTGGCGCCGAGGTAACCCTGTGACTTGAGCCACGGGGTGACAGCATAAGATGTTGCGAAACTCAACATGTATCCACCTCCTCCGACAATGATCATCGCCGGAGCGGCCCAGCGGGGGAAAGCCTCGGTTACCCAGAGTGTGGAGGCGATACCGTACGCCGCGGCGCTGAAAGCGTTCAAGACATAGGAAACAAAGATCCAGATAAAGTTCCACTTGTAATTTACCGTGAGGCCGTAGACGAATACGCTGCCTGCGCCGGCAAGTACAGCGGGTAGGAATGCGATGAGATAGTGCTCCGCATCGCGTATGCCGCCGTTGCGGAGTGTAAGGCGCCGAGCAACCCGGGATGTCAGGATAGTCGACACGGGCCAGGCAAGGAATGATCCGATTGCTGCAACGGGATTCACCATGGAGATGACGCGCTCGGGAAGGTTGTACGGCGGTTGCGCCATCACCATCGCGTACGTCTCGCCGATGAAGATCATGGCGCCAAAGTTGAGGGCGTTGAGGATGGCAACCCAGAAAACGAGGGGGTTGGCCGCGCACAGCAGTGTCTGCAGGTAGCAATTCCACATCTCTCTGAAGCCGGCACCGCCCTTGCGAACTCCCCACTGACGCACCATCGTCGACCACATCGTCTCAGGAGGGGGCACTTCGGTGACTGCGGCGATGGCAGCAGCCTTGCCGCCCGGGATGGCTTCCCAGTCATCGTACATCTGGATCTTCTCCGAGCCTCCTTGTACAAGGACGTGGCCGTCAAATGCTATGGCCGGTCGCACGAAGTAGGTCTCGGGGAAGAAGAAGAAGACGCAGACGAGGAGGGCTAGGCAGGGAACTACCCAGGCTGTGTAGAAAGCCCTCCATCCGGATTCTGAGAGAGCAGTGACACTTGGTAGCGAGAGAAGGCCGAGACCACATCCCACGCTCCAGAAGAAGCCCAACGCGTTCGGTCGCTCGTCAATGAAAGTGAGATCAATCACCATGAGCATTGCCTAAGTCAAAGGTTAGCCCAAGTTTCGACGAGGAGCATCGTCTTGAACATACAGCGCTCAAGCTCAAGCCGGCAGAAAACCCCTGCAGACTCAGCGCTGCAAGCAATTGGTAGAAACAAGACGCGTTTGCCGCAAGGACAGTAGCGACAGTCAAGCAGACCGAAGCGAGGAGGAACACCGGCCGCCTTCCCAGAGCCACTGACAACGGAATCCAAAAGAAGGCACCGAGGCCAAGGAAGATGGTACTGGGCGTCGAGACGAGGATATTCAACGGGTATTTGTCAGGTTGCTGCGACGTGTCAGTCTACACCGCTGTGGTCAAGATAGCTTCCAGCGACTAACCCCTGCGTTGAACTCGGCAGCAAGCGAGCGATACATCAGGCTAGCAGCCTGTGTTTCCATCATGGAAACCACCGAATACAGCGCGATAACACATAGAGCGACGATTCGCTTTCGAGGGCTCCAGTTAAGCGGATCGTATGGCGAGTTGCTGGGCATGGGCAGCTTGAGCGTCTTTCCATCGGACGTGATGAGGTAGATGCTGCCGGCGAGGTCGGCCGAGACCGGCCGTTGGCTGGCACGGGACGAAGTCGTCGAACTCATGTTTGTAGTATATGGTCGGTGAGTCGACCGAGCGGTAGGAAGACAGAGACAAAAAGAGAGATAGAGAGAGAGACTCAAGAGAGCGAACGCGATATAACTGTAGTAACCCAAAGGTCAAATTAAAGATGGCCGGTGTGCTGCCAGAACAACTACCCGTAAAACCCCAACATCATTGTCTGAACAAGATACCAAAATGGCAGACCCCATTGCTTTTGAATAAGGCTCGAAAAGTTTGTTTTTGACATGGCAGGAAGGCCACGCCGTCCCTGGGCTGGCGGTCTGCGGGAGGCTCGGTGGCAGCTGCGACAATCACTGAACGATTTGGGAAGCGTCAAAAAGTCTATTGGAATTAACAACTCTAGCGCCAAGGAGACCAGCAGACTCAAGGTAGGGTGAAGAAAGTAGGGCTGATTGCTTGCTCCCCGCCGCCATCTGAAACTGGCGCCATGGCCCCTGGATGAGGCTATTCGCTGTTGTGGGATGCCCCCTGGCACTCGTAGCTGCGTCTCATTGTATCAAGAGAGAGACAAGAGAGGATGGGTGTAGGGAGACAAGATGGCTCGCCCCAGTCGCGGGGGTTCGGCGGGGGCATAGAGTCTTTCGTGTTTGTTTGCAGTAAACACAACTACGACGACGGGGTGCAACGCCGCCGAAGAGACGAAAGTTTATGTGCCCGACAGTGACCAGAACTGCCTCCCCCAGATAAAAAGAGTATGCCCTGCCCGTTGACTGATCACATACAGGTTCGTGCCCGAAGCCTAAAGTTCTGGCAACTCCGGACGGGCAGCAAATTGAGCCTGGCGGCCCCTGCTTAGACGACGGGCGACTCGCCAAAAGCGTTTCAAGCGGAAGTTTATTCACGACCTTTCAGAGGCTTCAGAGGTGCGCTAGTCTGCAGTCTCTTCATATTGCAACGCTGTCGATATTGTGATGGCCCCGCGCAGGTGGCATCATGACGCCAAGGCTTTTCCACCTGCTCGGAATGTGCAAACGAAGTCGGCCTGGGTCTGCCTGTCGGCACCATCCGTGCCAGTCGGCGTTTGCAGCACTCGATGTTTCGCCCGAACCCGTCCCGCCTGCTGGCGATGCAGAGAAGCGAGTTGAAGCTGCGAGGGAAGAAGGCTAAGCGAATAGACATGAGATGTTCTGCTCGCGGTCAAAGACTCAATCTCTCTTGCGTGTGTGTTTTCTGCTCGATAAAATCTCGCGAAGGATATCCCAAGTAGTCGGCGATAGGACGTGTCCGAGTGCCTCCATCTCATGCACAGCATGCCCGTTTCTGCACGTAGTACGCACTCAACACCACACCACCCGCTATCTGTTTCTCATTACTCAGAAGTTGCATCGCGAGACGGCACGCTAACCTTGAGTCCGTCCATCGGCCGAGTCTGGAGGAGCAGCGGGTTTCAGGACATGTTGTTCGTCGCTTCTGCGTTGTCTTTCTGGCACTGGCTGTAGGCGAGGTAGCATCAAAAGGGCAACTGACTGGGCGAACGGACATTCTGCTGTGCGGAGAAGTCCATCTTCTGACCAAGGGTTCAACCATATCTCCATTCGGATCGAGAGATCAGTTGCATGCTGCGTACTCTCTGCCAGCCACCAAAACCAAATCCTCGCCAACAGGCCAAGCATTCATCAAGCCACAGACTTGGCTAGACCCGGGCCGCCTTTACCCACATTCCTACGTCTGACGGGTGTTCACTAGAGCGTCGGAGGCTCACCCCGCGAGCGCAAGTAAGAAGCGCACCGGAAGAGGCCCCCGCATTGGCGGACGGAAGCTCGGGGAGTTAGCAGCCTATGACCGTCGTTGGCGGCCGCCGCCAGCTTGGGTGCGGAGGCTTTTCGCGGGATGGGTTGGATTGATGCAGAGGCACCAGACCAGACCCCAATCAAGCACCACCCATCCAAGATTACCAAGCGGCGAACAGGTGGCGTGTGTAGCCGCACGAAACACAGGCAATGAAACCAGGAGATAAAGGCAAAAGCAGTAGCAATAGTCTGCTATTTTGACGTTGGCGGGAAGAAGACGCGTTGTGCCGGTGGGTTTCTCGTGTCTGTGTCAAACAAACACGCCATTTGGTGCTGCAGCGTCAGGCGGTAACATTCAAAACCTATGTTCAGCGCCGCATCACTTTCACATTCTGGTATGTAGGCTTACGCGCCTCGTGATGTTTGCCACTGGAAATACCTTGACGCCTCATCTCAGAACTGTGCATATCCGATTCTTCAGCCCTGGGCGTCGTCACCTCCATCCGTTATTGTTATTCAATTGGTCGACGGCTCATGCTCAGCTCTGTTAAGTACTCTGCAAGCGGGGGCTGCTACGTTGCAGCATTATCCCGCAGTAAATATTAGCGATTGATTAACATCCCTTTCGGTCCTGTAAGCTCTTCGGGTCCGTCTCAGCCGGTGTGCTTGCCAGTCATGTTCGCATCCGAAAACGTCCCAAGCTCAATAGCAGTCTTCAATTATCAATGCGGTGCAAGACGTCGTAATGGCGTACGAAAAGGTTTTTGTGATGCTTCGACTCTCTGACGGTCACATGCAACCCGCCATCCTGGGGGGCGCGATTCAACAGGTCTTATCGCCATCTTTGAACTGCGGCGCAATGCATCCCGAAGTCCAGGGCCTGGATTGACACGGGACGGTGCATTGGACCATTGGACATGGGCATACTATGTAGGGGCAACCAGCATCGAGACGAGAGATGGGGGCCAAGGGCCGTTTGCTGGGAAAGATCGGCAAGATCCCGAACATCAGCCAGCTGGGACACGGCCATGGGAAAACAGAAATGCCTCCAGAGAGAAGAAGCCAAAGCCGCCGCCGCCGCCGCTGTGGTTTCGGTATCCATGCTCGTCCCATACGCGACCCAAACTTTTCCTGCCAACGGCTCGTCGCCCAGCTTTTCCCAGTGAGTTCTGAGGACAGTACATAGCGTGGAGAGTGAGGCATGGGGGCCACACGGCGCGCCTGCATATGAGGAGGAGCTTGTACCGATACGTCCATGGCGCGGACACAGCAGCCACTGAGAAGAGGGAATCAGGGCAGGGATGCGAGCGTGGGCGCTGGAACAAACGGCCTGTCTGGCCGAAGAGGCCCTCTCCATTGTGGCGGACTCTGGCCAGTCTGCGTGAAGAGCGACACTCCGCATATTAGCCGTGGCGCGGGTTCGCGGCCCGGCGGGCAGCACACACGGAGGTTTGAGGTTTCTCGTGGGCCAATGTAGCCCGTATCGCCCGTATTGGCCGCGTCGACAACCCCGGCTTGGGGGTCATTTCACCCGGCGATTTGGCGATGGTGCAATGAGAAGCAATCTATCTCGTTGCAGACGGGGTCGACGGACCCTCTTGCTCCCCTCCTCCCCTCGTGAAGCGCCGAGATGCTCGGGGTGCAGTGCGGTACTTAGCCAGAACCAGAAACAGAACGGGCGGGCCCAAGCTGTCGGCCCAGAGTCCGTTAACTGCGGCCACGCTGATTGATGCCAGGGTCTGGGCTGGGCTGGGGATGGGAATCGTGGAATCATGGAATAAGATGCCGATGGAAGAATTGTGGGAACATTCTTGTGCACCCCCCATCATGGATGGATGCAGATAAAGGCTTCGTGATGCCCCAGAGTACTCACACACCGGATGGTTTGTTCTAGTTGGAAAAGGTCTGCTGTTCTTGTTGTCTCTCCGTACCAGCTTTACTTCATCTTCACGCTCACCACGTCTACAACAAGACGCAATCCATTTGTTGTTTTTTCTTCTCGGTATCCTACGTCCGCTGCCTCTGGCTTTGCCCTGTTTGGGACGGTCACGAGGTGCCATTCTGCACTCAATTCGGCACTACAACCGCTGTCAAGAAAATCCCCCGAAGGGCTGCCTCTGGACTAGGCCTGTTCCTGCGCCGCCGAGGTTCCCGTCCGCGTCTTTTGTGGTTGACAGGCTGGCTGGACTGGCTTTTCCACCACTTGGGGATCACCAAACCGTTGAAGAATCCGGGGCGTTGTGGTGTGTTCGTGGCATCACGAGACGGGTCGCAACATATAAGAAGAGGATTATTACGACGGACGGGGTTTACTGCGCGTCGCCCGGTCGGCTCGGGGTCGAAGACGATTGGATTGGATCTGATTTGCCCTGGTCAACAACTCCCGAAATTGGATTCGAGGAACACTTGGTCCGACACCGTTATTGCACCATTTCCACTCGTCAGTCGGCAGCTGACTTTTGGTCTCTGCCAATACCTACCTACGTATCAGTCGAGACCTTGCTTCTTTCTGTTGGCTGACTGCAGCACGGCACACGACTTGAGGTACTGATGGATGCAGAGTATCTCTACTAGCCACAGGAATCACCAGGACCAGGAGATACAACAACTGCTGTGTACGTTCATCTCAGACTCTGGGCAACAACGGCAGCTCGGATGATGAAGGCCCGCTGGGCCGCTGGCCCCACTGAGGCGCCCCCCGCAAATGCAAATGCAACTGGGGAGGGCGGAAAAGGAGGAGAAGGGGATGGTGTTGTTGGTGGTGGTGGTGGTGGGCAGGAAATTGGGGGAGGGGGAGGGGGATTTGGAGATGCAGAAGTACATTTACATGAACATGATTATGGACATGGACATGCCGGCATCTTCTCACCCTCAGCGACCCTGACCGAGAACCTGGACAACTTGTCGAATCATCCAGCAGCTGGTGGCAACACAACATCAGCTTCCGTTGCTGCGTCTGTCAACAACAAGCCACCACCCTCCAGGCCGAGTCTGGGGAAGAAGGGTCGCAGGGGTCATTCATCTGGGTCTGGGTCTGGATCTATCTCCATCTCTTCTAGTGGTGGTTTGGGCACAGGAACATCATCCCCAAGCTCCTCTCGCAGAACATCCGCCCGCATTCTTAAGACCTCCCCGCCGTCGTCTGCCGCCGCGTCTCGGGCCACCTCCGTCTCCCCTACTACCGTATTCTCTTCTTCCACCAACACCACCACCACCTCTCCCTCTCCTGTGTCTGCGGCCACCACTGCTGC